AGATTTGGCTCAGCGTCGACGGCTTCATCGTGCTCTCCGGCTCCGTCTTGACGTCGTACGTCGGCATCACGGGTCTCGTGCGGCGTCTCGCGTCCGACCGCGTCCTTCCCGAGTTCTTCCTCGCCGAAAACGCGTGGCGTCACACCAACCACTACATCATCCTCTCGTACTTTGTCATCGCGACGAGCCTCGTCTGGATCCTCGAAGGCAACGTGACCATGCTCTCGAGCATCTACTCGTACTCGTTTCTCGGGCTCCTCGTGCTCTTCTCCGTCGGCGCGATGCTCTTCAAGCTCAAGCGCGGCGACATGCCGCGCGAGACCAACACCCCTTGGTATACATACATATATGCATCGAAAACTCCTTTCTGAGCGTCGTGGATGTGTAGGTGGAAGTGCCTCGTCGGGTTCGCCATGGGTGTCGTCGGCTTCTTTGGCATCATGCTCGGCGATCCGCGCGTCTCGATTGTGTTTTTACTCTACTTTTTCTCGGTCGCGGGGCTCATTTTGCTCATGCTCGAGCGCATTTTCGTGCTCCGCGCGTGCATGCTCGTCATGAAGAGCCTCTGCCCGTCGCAATGGACGACCACGGAGCGCGTTCTGATGCCGCCGTTGCTGCCGACAGATGCGTCGACGCCCAACAACTTTCTCGGGAAGCGCACGATCGTGCGTGCGATCAAGACCATCAACGAGCCGCCCATCATCTTCTTCTGCAAGCACCTCTCGCTCACGATCCTCAACAAGGCGATTCTGTACGTGCGCCGGAACGAGCACACGGACAACCTCCGCATCGTCCACGTGTACGCCAAAGGCACCAAGCCACCCTCGGACTTTGAAGACATTGTCGGCGTCTTCGACTGCATGTACCCCAAGCTGCGCGTACGTCGCCTTTTTTCTCGTCTAGCATGTTTCGATGACAATATGGCGCGTAGATTGACGCGATTGCGGTCGAAGGCACGTTCGACCCGATTCTCGTGCAGTGGATTTCCGAAAACCAGCGCATTCCGACCAACATGATGTTCATTCGCCAGCCCGACAACGTCGACGCGCACAAGGTGTCGATGCTCGGTGTGCGCGTCATCACGGGCTAGACGTCCCCACCGTCCTAGAGACTGGATCGCTCGGTAGTAGTATCGCTTTTTATATCATCATACATACTATGCAGTGTCTTCGTTGCTGGGGCGTTCGAGACGGCTCATTCGTCCAGTCGTTTGGCGAGGAACGCTTCGTAGCTGCCACCAAGAAGGCGCGAAACGTCACGGCGAATGTCCTCGTCCGTGACGACCCACCCGTGCGCCAGCAGCTGCGTATACAACGGCGTCAACGTCGTTGCCAAGATGGACCGAAAGTGCTTCCACTTGTAGACGAGCTGGTCCAGCACGCGTGCGTCCGAGTGCTGCGCCGTGAAGCCGGTCCCGAGCATTTCGAGCCGCATGCGCGTGAGCTCGGAAGTGATCGATGGGTTGTTGCAGTACCACCAGCAGCCGTACAGATGGACGTTGGCAAACTTGTTGGCGACGACCGTCACCTCGTGCTGGTTGACACGTGAAAGGAACGTGGCGAGAAACTTGACGCGTGGGTTCGCGCGTGCGAGGCGCGTCAGCAGCGACACGTCGACGACCGCGACACCATCGCCGGCCAGGCACAGTCTACAGACAACATGATACTATGTCCATGATCCAACCGACAAACCGAGGGTTGAGGCCGCGGACAGCGCCAAATTTGAGTGCAATGGGCAGCGACAGTCGCGCGGCCAGCGGCAAGACCACGCACGACAGCAGCAACGCGCCACTGGGCGAGGCGAGATCGCGCGGCGCGTCACGCGGCGAGTCATCGTCATAAACAAACGTGTGGGGCACGCTCGCCATAAAGTACTCGGGTTGGAGCACGTCGATCCAGTGCAAGAGGAACTGCTCAACGCCATCCAGCGTATGTGGGAGATGCCTGTCCGATACAGCATTTCCATCAGGGATGCTCGATCGCACGCCACGTACAGTGTATCGAGGGCAGGCCCGATGGACGACCAGAGCCCGAGGAGGAGTTGGTCGATGCGGAGCGCCGTCTTGAACTGGCTGCGGTTGCATCTCGCTGGCGTTGGGGTCCAGTACTGCGTCTCCAGCGGGTCGAACGGGATGTTGGTCATGACCACGTAGCGGACCTTGGCGAGTCGAAACACTCGATCCACGTACGCCGTCGGGGACTGCGCATCAAACCACGCTAGACAGACGCGTTGGATACAAGCGACGAGCACAAATCTCTACCGCGGATGCCACGCAGGTCCCGCGTCGCAACCAACGAAGCGAGGCCGAGCTCAAAGAGCGTCGTGATCACGCCTTGGCACGCCTCTGAGAGCGGCGACCGGTCGCAAAACAGATGTTGCCACACCGCATCCGCTTGTGCCGTCCCTGGAAGCGCCTAATAGATCCAGGGCTAGGGTTAGGTCCTGTCAAAAAAATGTACGTAAAAGGCTTCGGGGGACGTGGTCGCGGTGCTGAGGTACTCGGCCACGAGGTAGTGGTACGTCAAGAGCGCGTCAATGCCCCAGAGCATGAGGGCATCGTGGGATGGCGGAAACAAATGCGTGTGCACATCAATCACTGGCGTGGTGGTGACGTGCGACTGCACGCTGGCCGCCACCGCGTCTGGCGACGTCAGTGCGCTCTCACGTGGCGCTTGAAAGTGCTCCAAAACGTCCTCCAGAACCCTCAGCGCCGGCGTTCTATGCAACAAAACGAGGAGCATCGTGCACGAGCGATGATCGCAGTACGTCAAGAGGCGGTGGTACAAGGCGGCCACATCGGCGGCAAAGTGCAGCATCGTCGGACGCGTCCAGTCGCATCCGGGAAGCGTCTCGAGAACCGCCAAGACCGCTACAATACACCTCTTTGGACCAAAATGCGGGGCGTGGATACCTACCGATCGACGTCGAGCTGGCGTTGTGCAGCCGCGACGGCACAGACCCGTTGCCATCGCGAAACGTGTAGCGACCGACGCTGCTGTCGGCGCTCAAATCGCCCACGTAGTTCCAGCAGCGACCTTCCGTCGTTGGTGTTGGGTCCATAAAGCCTACACAGCTCCATTGACACGACTCGGTTGCAGCGGTGACGCGCACCGGTAAAGATAGGGCCGCGCTCGGTCGTGTGCGCCTCGGACGCCGGCGCGGGTGTGAGGAACCGCAGTAAAAAGGCCGTGGCCAGGGCCATCATGGCACTTGGCTGGTACGCCGCATCGCACTACACGAGGATGACGTGTCACATAATTCTGACAGGAACGTTCTCGTGTGTTTACCGCCAGATTCGAGAGCACCGAGGGCCAGAGTCGGATCTGGAATTTGGTAAAGGCATTCTGGCTCACAAAAAGGTGTCCATGCCAAAGAACGGATGGCGGAGGCGATGGATCCACTCGTCGTACACGCTCTGCACCAGCGCCTACCAGCCTACCATTCCACAATATCTCGTCTGGAAAAGGTTTCGTACCGCTGGAATCTGGTTGTGCTGCACGAGCGCGGGCGCAATGTCACGGCGAAAGAGCTCGTCCAGAAACGTGTAGACAGCTTCGTGTGTCGCTGTCGTGTTGCCGACACGCGAGAGTGCGAGGCAGTAAACCATCGCCGTGTGCGTCGCGTTGGCAATGTTGAGTTTCAGTTTGTGGTACGCACTCAAGTCGCCTAGGACGCGAATTGAGAATTGATAATTGAGAATCGGTTGCCGAGGCAACGCACCGCAAGTACGCAGGACGATAACACCCGGCAGCGCGGCCCACGACGTGTCCAGAGACGACGCGCTGTCTTCGAGCACGAGCGCCTTTGGGGGCAGCGGCTCCGAGAAGGGCACGAGGGCGTTGCTGGGGCGACCGGCCGTGATGCGGTCGACCATCGAGTTGTGGAAAGTCACTTGTGCGTCAATGTACGCGGCGACATCCGGCGTGCAGAGCGCGAGGACCAGCGCTTTGATCGCGTCGCCGTTCGCCGGGAGATTGTCCGTATTGATCACCGAGAGCGCAGCATCTACGCGCCGCATCCATGTGAACCGACATGGAGCGGAGGAAGGAGGCAGTACGTGGCAACGCGACACTGCAAGTGGCCAAGAACGCGGCAAAATCCGCCATGGCTTGGCTACCGGCTTGGATCCCAGCTTCCGTGACGCCGACGCCGATATAGCGCAAGTGTGGCAGCTTGTACGGGAGCTCGAGAAAGGCTGCACGGCCGTCACGCGTGCCCAAGGTCCCGACGCCCGCGAGCTCGACCTACGCATGACGATACCATGATGGAATAACCTTCATGGGGCCAAGCTACCGTGTGGGTTGACGTATGGCCGTCGCGCTCGACGACGTCCATCTCGTACGTGCCGCCAGCAGCCAGGCAGGCATCGACAAAGTCGTGGCCTCGCGGCTGCGCGACAACGACGCCATGGCCGAGCTGGCGCAGCGCGGGCACAAGCAAGCAGCGCTACGCAGGCCATGAGGTGCTGCACGCATGGTCCGATTCATCGCACGAGGAAGCGCCCGGCGCCGAGGCAGACGGCCCTTACGCTGTCGGTGGCTCCGTGGATCTCGAACGCCATCGTCGACGAAATCTTGACTTGTATCGTCTAGAATCACGCCATTTTACGTCGCGATGAAGTGAATTTGTTGGCCTTCCGTGGCGTTGTTTTAGACAGCAAAATACGCTTAATCCCCGTTGGGATTGAGTTTCAGTCTGAAAAAAGATGTGGATTGGCCAAAAACACGACGCAGCCGACCAATCCCAGTGGTTCATACAATCCCCGTGCGACATGTGGCGCTGGCCAAGTTGAAGCTGCGAAGCTCGGATCTTTGACACTTCATTGAGGCGCCTGACGTCACCTGGTCCGAGCGCATAGACGTCCCGCGAAGCCAGAGCCACGGACGCTGAGGACGTAGTTCAAGGCCTGCGATACACGATGTATCCTGTTCTATTAGCTCGGTTCAACCCGCTAACAGGCGCGCTCGGGGTCATACGCACGCTGCTTGGCCAGCGCCAAGGTCGTCCGCTGCTGGAGTTGGCGGCGCGTAAGGCCTTCCGCGACGATGTGAAGCGGATGGCGCTGCAGCGCGCATCGGCGAGAGACCTTGAGTGTGAAGGGCACTTGCTTGCCGCCCACAAATACGGGTCGGAGCTTGTACCGACGCGGCGGCGCGACGGGTGGCAGCACGCAGTTGGGCAAGACGTGCGACGGCCGGGCATGCAGCAGCGCTTTGATTTGAGCGACTTGAAGGGGCTGCTTGGAGACGCTGGACCGCTTCCGCGCCGCCGGCTTGTTGCTGTGGAGCCATGCCACAAGGCACGAGGCAATGGCAACGATCGATGTCATCTCTTCTCTACGATACGCGCACTGCAAACGACGGTCGAGGCCGTGTGAGAATGCTTCGAATCGGCCGGTTGGCAACGGTCGTCAGTATCATCCGCAGCCCAAGTCATTTCGGTCCAAAAGGTTAAATTAGAAAAACGATGATAAATACGGCGCTACGAAATGCTCATCGAATGAGCATCTGCACGGCGGCCGCCGTCTTGGTGGCCTTCTCTTCGTCGACGCGGGCCTTCCAGAGCTGGTCCGTCTCGTACACCGTGTCGAGGCGCTTCTTCTGGCCCTTGTGAGCCGCATACTTGGTGAACGGCGTGCGCTTGCCCGAGACGATAATGCCCGTGGTGTAGTAGTGGCGTGGCGGCGTCACCGGCGCCTTGACGTGCTTGGAAAGGAACGAGAGCTGCGACTTGTGCTGCTTGAGCACCGTCTTGATCGCACTCAGCTCCGCCTTGAACGGTGTGTTCTCGGCAATGGGCGCGGCCTTCTCGTGGTGGCCAAGCTTGACGAGCCAGGCTTCGATGCCCTTGAGCTGGTACTGCTGGCGCTCGGCGGTCGTGATGCCCATGGTATGTGTGGGGAGGCTGTGCAAATTGGAAATGAGACCAGTCGACGCAGGCGCACCAATCCACATCCCAATTGTTGTCCAGTCGCATGTGCGACCAGCTGGTGGGTTCGCCAGCCCGCCTTCTAGCAGCCACCGCGACTGGCCCTTTTCGGTTCCTGTCACATGTGGGCTTTTGGGCTTGCGACAGTGGTCATTTTATTGCACACGTCTCTCACACTTTATTGGCTTCGCCACATTGTGCATACAAATGGCAAGCTCGAGTTGGCAATTTGCATTAAAATGCAATCCAATCCAAAACAAAACGCCGATGCCACGGCAAACTCAACGCGAGATGGTTTTGAATCTTTTTCGCACGTGTTTTTTTACGAGATTCCATCCTCGATACAAACTTCAAGTATAGAAAGTTGAAAGAAAAAAGCACCGATCACCTGGCGCGAGATTCAAGCAGGATATCTCTCTCGACGTGGTTTGTAAACAGGCCACCCGTTGGCGACGGCAGCTCGGATGCCACCGAGCCGCACCGGGGTGCCCATGGAAAAGCAGGACGCCAAGGCGTGTGCCTCCAACGTCCGCTTCGTGATTGGCCGCCTCGCGCGCCCGCTCCAACCGCGCACGCAGTGCTTGTCACAGGCGCAGCCTTTTTTCTAACGCAAATGTGCACCTTTCGTGCATCGATACTGAACGAGTCGGAAGTCGGCGCAGACACGCCGTGACGACATGAACGGCAAGTGCAATTTGGCGACCTTATTTCAAATCTTATTTCGCGCCCGCGGCTATGCAAGCGAGCGTACACGGACCAGTTGGCGTGCTGTTTATAGGAAGCACCTGCAGACACCCACGACAAACCTCCCACCACGATGGAGATTGCTTGGTCGGTGCCCGGTTGACCAGCGGACGCACGGCTTGAACCCATCCATTGGTATCACTCGTACACGCAGAGACTCGGGACACTGCGGACGGGCTTGCAGGCCGACGCTCTCTCAATGGTCGCTGTCCAGGGTCCCGATGGAGACGATGGATAGGAACGACACCACCGCCAATGCATCATCCCGCATCGGTCGAGTATCGGGGCCGTTGCCATGTCCTTCGTGTTCTGGTGCACGGTCATCGTCGTGCTCTAGCACAAGCCCTTGGATCATCAACATCATCATCACGAGAGGAGCGGTCGTGGTGATGATGCAGCGGATTAAAAATTAGACTTAATGCAGAAAATACTAGCCCTAACAACCTCCTGCACGCTCTAGCTCCACCAGAGCGGGGCGCCGATCGCGCCGTTCACGGACGAGTTGCACTCGACACCGCGTTTGGGAGCGTCGCCATGGACGCTCGGAATGTACCAGCAGTGGCCGCGCGCAATGCCGCCGACCTTTAGTTTGCTGTAGTCGAAGCCGCCAAAGCGCCAGTCGTTGTCGAATGTGACGAATTGGACCTTGAGCCACTCTTTGGAGAAGCTGAGCTCAAAGAAACCGTAGGGCTGGCCGACCACGAGCCATTGACTAACAAGTAATTCCATGAGCCGCCGAGAAAGAAGACTTGTCGACGTACTTTTTGACGAGGTCGTTCTCGATGATGGGGCTGTTGGCGGTAAAGTAGCCGCCGCCGCCGCCATTCTCAATGAAATGCGTGCCCCACGTCGCAATGTCGTGGTTGAAGCCGTGCGTGTGGCCGTTGATCCACACCGTGAGGTTCGTCGCCTTGCAGAGGTCGTACCACTTGAGCATCTTCTCGTTGCTCATGTGGTAGTGCGGCGAGAAGTGCGTGTTGATAATGGTAAAGTCGGCGTCGGACGCGGCAATGTCGACAAGCGCCCGCGCGTAGCCTTCTTCGGCCCACGCGTTGATGCGGTTGATGCACGCGTCGTAGAGCTCGGTGCTGCCGCCGGCGCACGACGCGGCGCCGCGCTCCGTGTTGCCGCACACACCCGGGTTCGTGTTGTACTTGGCGGCGTACCCATAGCATTGGCAGCACACCTCTTTGCCGCCGCTGCCCTCGGCGTAGTTGGTGTCGATGTTGAAGATTTCAACGACAACGCCGTTGCGCTCGACACGCTCGACGTAGTAGTGGTCCCGTAGCACCCACCGATCGCCGTACGGACTCTTGTAGCTGCTCTGCGCGAGATACCGGTGCTCGAGGTAGTCGACGAGCTCGGACGGCGACGAGCACTCGTAGTAGGGCTCGCTGTCGCCGCAGATAAAGTTGGCGCCGCCAATGTCGTGGTTGCCCATGACGTTGATCCACGGCACGTACTGCAGCGACGGCTGGTTGTACACCTTCTCGAACGACTGCTCAAAACGGTACTTGGCGTTGTCGAGGCCGACGCCGACCCAGTAAAAGTTGTCGCCATGCGAGAGGATCCGCGACGGCGCAAGCTCGTTCGCCGAGAGCGCCATGAGTTCGGCCACGTAATTCTGGGCCCAATAGTCGATCTGGAACCGGTACGACTTGGGGTTGACCCAGCCGTTGTAGATGACGCAGCACGAGCCCGGGTCGCCGTTCTCTTTCCCGAGTGTCCCGCCCCAGTCGCCGATCGCGAGCATCGTCAGCGCCGGCGTCATCGTTTCCGGGTCCGGAAGGCGACCAATGCGATCGATGGCCGTCGTCGCGTTGGGTAATCGCACGGTCGTGTTGGGCGTCGTGTCAAGCGCGTCATGGACGAGCGCGGGCGACGACGAGGCGTCGTAGCGGCCGATCGCTAGCACGCCGAGGCAGGCAAGGCCGACGCCGCCGGCCAGCAGCTTCTTGGTCTACCGAGGTTGCGTCCATGAGCCTCCGCATGGCATCGAGGGATGGCCGTACCTTGGGTGAGAGGCGGGACCGCGGCTGGTCGGGCGAAAGGAGCTGCGCCGACTCGAGGTCCGAGGCGGCGGCCATGTGTCGTCGAGAGGGTAAAAGATCTTTTGACGACGGAGGCAACACCTCGCATCGCATGGATTTGTACAGGTCGTCCATGTGATTGGTCAAAAGGAAAACCGATGCGCCAATCCGAAAGCAGAGGCTGCTTGATGTTGAAGTTGCGTTTCTCTTGGCGCACTGGCGACACCGTGTAATACTATGCATTGTGAGAGGTCGGGGCCGCCAGCGTCGACGTAATGGTCGCGACAAGCGATGCGCAAGACCAAGCCCGCTCGCTGTCTCGCCAACATATACTATCCTGATTCCCACTCCGTCTCGAACCTGCGAACCGACGCCGAACCGACGGCCGTTTCCGCCCGAGTGTGGTGCAATATCAATTGATGGAGGTATAAAGACGCCAGCAATATGATCCGCTAAATTGGATGCATTCGAGCCCAATCGAAGCGTGATGCGGGCTTGTCAGGACGAGCACCACGAAGAAGGCGGCAAGCAATTGTAGATTCGCGCAGATTCGCTGCTTCAAGATGGGAGCATATCCCGTGGGTTCGAATAACAGTGTTAGAAGAAGGTTTGGCGTCGGAAGCATCAGCGAGCGTCGCCGCGATACCCAGTCGCATGTCGAAAGAATTTCTGGGATCCAAGTAGCCCGAGAGACCTTGGACCAACGAGCTTCTGTATTCTATTAGGAGTACTCGTTGTATGAATGAATTCGCGCGAAGGTAATCTCCCCCGCCGGCGAATATCGAAGGCTGCAAGTTGGTGGACCGGCGTCTTCAACGCGCAGATGGATGCAGGCGTTCTGGATGCCGTCGTCGTCGTACAGAAGAGAAGAGTATGAAGCGCATTCGTTGAGGTTACTAGAAAGCGTTGGCGCATTCAGAACGAATACTCGATCGGATCATGCCGGTTGTCGCGGACAGTGCCACAATGCACCACCTGCTTTGGAACGTCGGCGGTGTTCTTTCGTGGAGATTTCTGAACCGGCGGTGTCTCAAGCTCAATCGTCGTTGCTCGCTCCTTGACGTGCTTGGCGCGGCGCTGGCGGTACAAGCCGTAGCCAGCACCGACGATGGACACCTAATGGCACAGCTGCATGTTTGTTTGATTTTCAAAAAAATACCACGGCACCGGCAATCCCGGCGTATTCTTCCGCCATTTTAACAGCCGAGTTGCCGAGGCATTGGGGCGGGCCCGACTTGTCGGCGATGCACTCACAGACGCCATCTAGCATGATATAACGCATATCGACCATATGCGTCAAAAAAACGTACTTTTGACGGCGCCGCGGACCGGATCGCAGTCGCTGGTCAACGCTGGCGCGCTCGGAATCGCACTGCACGTGGTGCCGTTGCCTGGAATGATCTAGTGCATGTGTGCGTTTTACGTCAAGTACCTTTAGACAGAATGTCTGCAATACCTCGACAGCCATCTCTTGCGACGCGCGACAGCCGTTGGCAGCAAACCCGCGAAAGTAGAGCGTACCGACGACGCTCGCACACATGGAAAAGTAGTTGTCCTTGAAGATCGCAGGCAGGCTCGTGTTGAGGACTTGGGACGTCTTTGGCTGCCCGGTTTTGAGCACCATGTAGCTGACGTTGGTGGCCGAAGGCCAATTGAGCTGGAGCCACATGCCGCTCGGAATCTGAGCTTTGCCGGCCGCGTACGTGAGCTGCGCGACATTGTAGTTGGGTGCCCCGAACAAAGACGATTGACACACGTCGTCAAAGCAGCAGACAGATTGCGTCGCTGCGCACGCCGTCCAGTTGAGCGCGTCGATCGCGCCAACGAGCGGCTGCGCCAAGCACGTCGAGCAACAGCCGTCGGCCGGGATCGTCAAAGCCATGACCGTCAAGAGGGTTGCTGTCACCGAGCCTCCAGTCATGTTGGAATTGGAAATGCCGGCATTGCTACACGAGTACAAAAGCGCAGGGGGGCCTTTACACACCTGGCTACACACTACTAGTATATGGTACAGCACATTTTGACGGAAAATGCTGTTCAAGCTTTCCCATCGCGGTTCGACATACAGGTGGTTGATCACTTCTGAATGACAACGTGAAAATAGAAAAAAGTGTCGTTTATTGGTATCGTCTATTTATTCACTGCTTTGTTCAAAATGCATGACGGGATGCGAAAACCTACGCGGTCGAGGGCAGCACGCAGCCCCACGCGCCCGTCGGGATCTTTTGGCAGATGGCGTTCGCCGGGAGCACACATCTCGCGCTATCGACGTAGCTCGTGAGCGCCCGGACGCAGCTTGCGATGGCCACATCGCCCTGGAGAGGACACTTGGTGCCTGCCGGCAACAGACCGTCGCCGCTGCAAATCGGCCCCGCAATGCAGTACGTCGCATCGCCAGCGACACTGACGTGCGTGCACCCGCGCGACGGCGGCGTCGTGATGACATTCGTCGTCGTGTTGGGCGTCGTGGGATTGACGAAAGGCGTAGTCGTCGTCGTATTGACCGTCACAATCGTCGTGTTGACCGTCACAGTAGCCGGCACGGAGGTCGTAGTTGTCGCAGTCACCGGAGCCGTTGTCGCCACAGTCACCGGAGCCGTTGTCGCCACAGTCACCGGAGCTGTTGTCACTGCCGGCGTCATGGTCGGCGTCGTCGTCGGTACCGAGGCGCAGAGCGTGGGCACGACGTCGTGCAAGTTGACCCACGAGCCCTTGTAGAGGTTGTAGCTGCAGTTGGCCTTCTGGGTCGCGATCGCCAAGTCGGCGCAGCCCGGCAGCGCGTGCTTGCAGTAGGCTTGGGCCGTCGCGGACGTCGGGTCGCGCAAGAGACCGACGAGGGTGAGAGCCGCGTACTGAGTCGTGATGCCAGCGCTCTTGGCGCACGATTGGAGTGCGTCGCTCACCGTGACGACGGTCTCGGGCGAGCAGTCGGTCCACTGGGCGCTGGCGGCCGTCGCGGCGAGAAGGACGAGGAGGCAGGACGATTTCATGTCGAAAAGGTAAAACGAAGAATGAGCGCAGGAGGACCGAACGGAGGAGGACCGTTGGAATCGGAGTCACGCGGCCTTCATTTGGCCACCACAATTTTGGCTCCGCTTGGGACAACCTCGTTCGCCGGTGGAATGAATTGCTTGTTCGGTCTTGGTCCACATGTACGTTTCGATACAGTACAGTACACATGGTACAGTACATAGACGTGTCTGCGTGCGTTACTGGTGTGAGTCGTATATCCAAGAGAAGCGTCGACATGCCTGAAAAAGCGATACAATCTTGTTCTCTGAACTTGATTTCTCTCCAGACAAGGGTCTCGGTGTGCTTTTGCATGCATTGTATTGAGCGAAGTATCGGTGCCATGTACCCTCTCAGTTCTGACCTAGTAAAATGCGCCTCGTACTATAAAGCTCTAATTTCTTAAGTTAAAGATGTCTAGCATCCAGAAAGGCGATGACGCTGTGGTCGATTTAGGAAGCGAAGCAGACGAATTTGCCCGAGCGATATGCCCGCTCGACCAATCGGCGCTGGCGGCTGTGAAGGGTCGCGCGCGACTTGATGATCGCCGCCTTGCGACGAACGAGCGCCCGAATGGTTGCTTTCGTGACCTTGAGGGCGTCGGTGATGTCGGCCATGAGCTGATGCTCTTGGTCCCTCTCACTCACAAACGACTCCTTCTCCGACCCTTGCGGTGATGTGACGTCGTCTCCCGCTCTCAGTTGGGCATGAATAATGGCAAGGCGTTCCAAGCAGCCTTCAATATCGCGCTTGAGTAAGTGCAGCCGCTTGGCCTCTTGCACGAGCTGGCAGTGGCAAGTAGACAGCTTCTTTTGGAGATACGCGTCGAGGAGGATGCTGGCTGCCATGTCTTCTTGCATGGTCTTCATCGCAAAAGCTTAAATAACGTCGACTCTCGCTACGGATGCTTCCCTGTGGTATCTTGGACATCAAAACAATCAAACAACTCGGAGCACAGGTGCATCGATCGCCCAGGCATCACCTCGATCAATTTTTAAAAAATGTTGGCATTGGCCAACGCTCAAACATCTGTTTTTGCAAACTTTTCAGGGCAATTTCAACGCTCTTTAGCCAATCAATACGCAGCATAGTGATTCTCTAGCCAACGACGAGCACAAGGCTACACCTGATGTCCACGAGTGTATGACGCGCATTGCGTACGCCAGACACGCCGAAAATATTGAGAATCAGCACACGAATTATCAGATTCGTAAATTCACTCATGTGTTGCCACAGCAGCCGTTGCCTCAACTGCTGACGCATGTGCCTCCATGAAACAGCAGCTGTAGACCGAACCCCGAACAAGCTACGTATCCGGGCTTGGACAATTTCTCACGATTTTGGTCAGAGATAGCTCAGTGGAGATAGCTCCTCATTCCACCAGCGAACGAGGTTGTTCCAAGCGGGGCCAAAATTGTGGTGGCCAAATGAAGGCCGCGTGACTCCGATTCCAACGGTCCTCCTCCGTTCGGTCCTCCTGCGCTCATTCTTCGTTTTACCTTTTCGACATGAAATCGTCCTGCCTCCTCGTCCTTCTCGCCGCGACGGCCGCCAGCGCCCAGTGGACCGACTGCTCGCCCGAGACCGTCGTCACGGTGAGCGATGCGCTCCAATCGTGCGCCAAGAGCGCTGGCATCACGACTCAGTACGCGGCTCTCGCCCTCGTTGGCTTTTGCGCGACCCGACGTCCGCGACGGCCCAAGCCTACTGCAAGCACGCGCTGCCGGGCTGCGCCGACTTAGCGATTGCGAGCCAGAAGGCCAACTGCAGCTACAACCTCTACAAGGGCTCGTGGGTCAACTTGCACGACGTCGTGCCCACGCTCTGCGCCTCGGTACCGCCGACGACGCCGACCATGACGCCGGCAGTGACAACGGCTCCGGTGACTGTGGCGACAACGGCTCCGGTGACTGCGACAACTACGACCTCCGTGCCGCCTACTGTGACGGTCAATACGACGATTGTGACGGTCAATACGACGACGACTACGCCTTTCGTCAATCCCACGACGCCCAACACGACGACGAATGTCATCACGACGCCGCCGTCTCGCGGGTGCACGCACGTCAGTGTCGCTGGCGATGCGACGTACTGCATTGCGGGGCCGATTTGCAGCGGCGACGGTCTGTTGCCGGCAGGCACCAAGTGTCCTCTCCAGGGCGATGTGGCCGTCGCGAGCTGCGTCCGGGCGCTCACGAGCTACGTCGATAGCGCGAGATGCGTGCTCCCGGCGAACGCGATCTGCCAAAAGATCCCGACGGGCGCGTGGGGCTGCGTGCTGCCCTCGACCGTGTAGGTTTTCGCATCATAAAACAGTAAATAAATAGACTATACTAGCTCCAAGAAATCGACGCTTGGAAGGGTCGTGTGGAGGGCTTGACCAGACGAACGTATTCAGCAGAAGGCGAGTTCATACCGCCGTTGTTGGTGCTTCGAATCGCGTTTAGATACGGATGTTCAAGTAGCAGATTAGCTCTTGTTTTACGACTGATATGCACTAAAAAAGGACACCAAGGACGAAGCTGACACCGATGACGAGAACGACATCGAGCGCTAAGTACGTCGAATGCTGTGAGTGACCAGTGGATCATGCCAAGTACCTCGCGCGGCGGGGCTGATGTATATGACGTTGACACAATCAACCGCCAGGTCGTCGCACGTCCGGAAGCCGTACTCGTAGGACGAGAGCAGTCGTTCCGCGCAGACCGCGCAGCTCGCAGCGCTCTCAAACCCGTGACATCGGCCAATGGTTTTATTGGTTGAAGTGACGCACAATGCGCGGCCAGAGGCCTCTGCGACGACGGCTGCGATACCAACGATGCCGCTGTTGCCCGCAGCACACGTAAACGACGGGCTGCGTCGGTTCAAGCGAGAAAGCTCGTACGCCGCCACCCAGCACCAGTTGTTCGGGTTAGAATCGCCGTAGTCGCCCCAGTGCTCTAAGCGCGCGGGTCCACACGGTGCCGGAAACGTCGACAAGCTCGTATCGTTGTTGCCACTGCTCCGATTGCCTTCGTACGCCGCCAGCAGCGGCAAGAGATCGTCGACGTTCTCGCCAAGAAGGCAGTTGACGCCGTTCACTGCATAGCACTCGGGCTGCGAGCTCTGGGCGGCGAAGCGTACCATCATGAAGCCTTCCCATGTGCCAAGGAAGCGCCAAGGAGCTTCGATGGTGCCTGGCGGCGGTGTCGGCAGCGCCGTTGCATTGTGCACTTCAAGTGAGGCGATGCGGTTGACCCACATGCCCGTGTAGGCGACGGAGCGATACCAGGTCGCGTTGGCACCGCGGCGGTCAGCTTGGTCGTAGGTGACGAGGTTGACGTCGTCACTCAGCTTGATCGACTGAATGGAATCGCGAAAGGGGACGTTGGCTGTGCTGGTCTCGTTGGCGGCGAGCGTGTAGGCGCGGCCCTTATAGTAGGGCCACTCGTACAAGGTGACGTCGGCGATGACGGTGCTTGCGCAGAGCAGCAGGAAGAGGAGAGAGACGACGCGCTGTCGTCGTCGGTGGCAGGACATGGGACCGAGGCTGGCAGCAGCAGCTGGCGTGTCACACAGCCGTATCCGGATGATGGACATTTGGCGCGCTCGGCTCAGCGATGGAGGCATATTCTGGCACGCGAACCATTCATATACGCGTTGTTGGCGACAGATGAGCGTCATTGCAGTCATGGCAACGTCTCTCAGACGAATTCTACGGCCGCAAAGTGTCGTGAAGAAGCGGTGGCCGACGGCACCGCGCGCGTGTCGTCGTCGATCAAGCGACATGGAATCCATGGTCTTTTTATGGACCCTTGCCTGGAATTCAGCCCTCGGAAGGTGCCTTGCTGTTGTTGAAAAGACGTGCCAGGTCCCATTATCGGTAGGCGATCCAACCACGGACATGAGAACGTGCAGGGCAAGCCGTCGGGTGCGTCTCAAACGAAGCCGTCCGAGCCCGCATTCGACTACCATTAGCTACACGAATGTTGTATCAATATATTAGATTAATTGTCTTTTCGACTAGGGCTGCTCAGATCTTGACTCGTCCCGAACGTAGATGGAGGCCCGAAAGATAGGGAAATCGTCCTCGTCCTCGTCGCCGTCCTTGCTCGAGCACTCGGTGGCTTCAATCGCAGGTCGCGACGCCGCCATCTCGCGGTCCTTCTTTCGAATGTAGAAGCCACAGAAAGCGCAGAAGAGTAGAACGCTCAGGGCACCCAGCACCACGCCTATGACTACGTACATTGCGCAGTAAGTCCTCACGCCAGGCATGTAGAAATGACGCACCCGAGGTCCCACTCGAGTCATAGAATGTCGGCACCTCAGTCACACAAGACGACTCGCCGCTGCCACGGCCTCGGCAGAACGTCTCGCCGGAAGACATCCAACCGTCCTCAAGAAGCAATCGCTCGGCGCACACTGAGCACGTTCCGTAGTCACGAAAGAGTCGACAGATCTGCCACGAAATCCTCTCAGAGGCGCACACGTATCCACTTGAATAAGCCGACACGGCCGCAATACCGAGAGGTCCAGAGACGCAGCGGGCGAGGCTCCCACGCGCTTCAAAGAGCGGGAGCCGCCGCTTCGCCGCCCAGCACCACTCATTCGAGCCAGAGTAGCCCTCACTGCCCCAGTGCTCACGACGCGCGGGTCCACACGGTGCCGGAAACGTCGACAAGCTCGTATCGTTGTTGCCACTGCTCCGATTGCCTTCGTACGCCGCCAGCAGCGGCAAGAGATCGTCGACGTTCTCGCCAAGAAGGCAGTTGACGCCGTTCACTGCATAGCACTCGGGCTGCGAGCTCTGGGCGGCGAAGCGTACCATCATAAAGCCTTCCCACGTGCCAAGGAAGCGCCAAGGAGCTTCGATGGTGCCTGGCGGCGGTGTCGGCAATATCGTTGCATTGCGCACTTCAAGTGAGACGATGCGGTTGACCCACTTGCCCGTGTAGGCGACGGAGCGATACCAGGTCGCGTTGGCACCGCGGCGGTCAACTTGGTCGTAGGTGACGAGGTTGACGTCGTCGCTGAGCTTGATCGACTGGATGGAATCGCGAAAGGGGACGTTGGTGGTACTGGTCTCGTTGGCGGCGAGCGTGTAGGCGCGGCCCTTGTGGTAGGGCCACTCGTACAAGGTGACGTCGGCGATGACGACATTGACGCAGAGCAGCAGCAAGAGGAGAGCGACAACGCGCTGTCGTCGTTGATGGCAGGACATGAAACTGAGGCTGCGAAATGGGTTGTGGCATGTCACTCGCGGGACACAGCGCAACGTATGCGGATGATGGACATGATTATCCGGATGTGGACAGGCTGCCCTCATCAGCATGCGGATGATGGACACGATCAGGTGGATAGAAACCGGTGCTGGATCGATTGTCATTCAGGCAGCTCGTTCAGGTACAAATCCAGCCGACACAAAGCTCTCGCTTACTTCAAGAGGAGACTGTAAAGGCTCTTAGGAAGTGCATTGTGGCCAAACAAAGGGGATGAACAAGTGATTCCAACTCCTGTCATTCGACCAGTCAAGACAGTATCTACTACGTATATACATTGTACTTGTAGTGTACATTTTCAACTTGACACGAGCTAACGAGGTTCAGAGGTTCTGTCGTCGTCGTGGACGTAGTTGGATGCTAAATACGCGTCCTCGTCCTCGTCGCTGTCCTTGCTCGAGCACACGGTGGCTTCAATCGCAGGTCGCGACGCCGCCATCTCGCGGTTCTTCTTTCGAATGTAGTAGCCGCAGAGAGCGCCGAAGAGGGTGAAGGTCAGGACACCCGCCATCATGCCTGGCACGACTACGTACATTGCAGCCTAAGTCATCACGTCTAGTACAAGAGAAGACGCACCCGAAGACCCACTTGAGCCATAGGTTATCTCAGTCACACACGACAACTCGCCATGTCCTGGGCAGTACATCTCGCCGTACGCGATCCAGTCGTCCTCAAGAAGCAGTCGCTCCGCGCTCGCTGTGCACGTGGGCAGGTTGAAAAAGCGAAGGCAGGCCCTGCACGACCGCACACCTTTGCAGACACACGACGCCATATCCTTCGAAGGCCGTACCGCGGCAATACCGAGAGGTCCAGAGACACAGCGGGCGAGACTCCCACGCGCTTCAAAAGTCGGGAGCCGACGCTTCGCCGTCCAGCACCACTCATTCGAGCCAGAGTAGCCCTCATTACCCCAGTGCTCACGACGCGCGGGTCCACACGGTGCTGGAAACGTCGACAAGCTTGTATCGTTGTTGCCACTGCTCCGATTGCCTTCGTACGCCGCCAGCAGCGGCAAGAGATCGTCGACGTTCTCGCCAAGAAGGCAGTTGACGCCGTTCACGGCATAGCACTCGGGCTGTGAGCTCTGGGCGGCGAAGCGTACCATCATGAAGCCTTCCCACGTGCCAAGGAAGCGCCAAGGAGCTTCGATGGTGCCTGGCGGCGGTGTCGGCAATATCGTTGCATTGCGCACGTCAAGTGAGACGATGCGGTTGACCCATTTGCCCGTGTAGGCGACGGAGCGATACCAGGTCGCGTTGGCGTCAGCTTGGTCGTAGGTGACGAGGTTGACGTCGTCACTCAGCTTGATCGACTGGATGGAATCGCGAAAGGGGACGTTGGCTGTGCTGGTCTCGTTGGCAGCGAGCGTGTAGGCGCGGCCCTTGTAGTTGGGCCACTCGTACAACGTGACGTCGGCGTTGACGACATTGGCGCAGAGCAACAAGACGAGAGCGCGAAGCATCAGAAGTCGCCGAAATGACATATTGCGCACGCTGAGAGAGAGGCGGCGGTGGAGCTTGGATGCTGCGGCTGCCTCGGAAGTGACTCAGGCAGACGTTGGACCATGTCGTCAACCGCGCGCTTCGTATGCGGACGATAGACGTGATCGTTATCCGGATGACAAAGAGCGTGCCGCAGCGGAAAGACGCTCCTTCTGCACCAGAGACCACACCCTCTCAACGTGGACGGCGTCTCGTTGGCACTGCTGCTTTGGGTTAATTGACGTCGACTCACGGAAATCCAGAAACCGGAATATACGCCAACCGCGGCTTCGAGTCCCGCCGGCCATCACCATTTTTGGATTTCTCGAGCCCAAGGTCGATCTTTTTTTTACGCGTTCCGAGCCTCGGCGAAGGGCTCATATTCATAGCTTTTTAAATATACATCGACCAATTTCCTGCAAGCTTGTTAGTGGTGATCCGAACGATCGTCCCGTACGTAGTTGGAGGTTCGATAGACGGGAAAATCATCATCATCGACGTCATCCTCGTCGCCGTCCTTGCTCGAGCACACGGTGGCTTCAATCGCAGGTCGTGAAGTCGTCATCTGCTGATTCTTCTTCTTCGCGTAGTAGCCGCAGAGGGCGCCGAGGAGGGTGAAGGTCAGGACACCCGCCATCATGCCCGACACCACTACAAGCTACATAAGTCCTTATGTCATGCGGGTAGATAAGACACACCTGAAGCCCCCCTTGAGTCATAGGTCGTCTCAGTCACACAAGACGACTCGCCGCTACCACTGCCTCGGCAGTACATCTCGCCGTACGCGATCCAGTCGTCCTCAAGAAGCAGTCGCTCCGTGCTCGCTGTGCACGTGGGCAGATCGCGAAAGAGCCGACAGGGGCCCCATGACTGCACGGCTTTGCAAACACACGACGGTATATCCTTCGAAGGCCGCACCGCGGCAATACCGAGAGGTCCAGAGACACAGCGGGCGAGACTCCCACGCGCTTCAAAGAGCTGAAGCCGCCGCTTCGCCGCCCAGCACCACTCATTCGAGCCAGAGTAGCCCTCACTGCCCCAGTGCTCACGACGCGCGGGTCCGCACGGTGCTGGAAACGTCGACAAGCTTGTATCGTTGTTGCCACTGCTCCGATTGCCTTCGTACGCCGCCAGCAGCGGCAAGAGATCGTCGACGTTCTCGCCAAGAAGGCAGTTGACGCCGTTCACGGCATAGCACTCGGGCTGTGAGCTCTGGGCGGCGAAGCGTACCATCATGAAGCCTTCCCACGTGCCAAGGAAGCGCCAAGGAGCTTCGATGGTGCCTGGTGGCGGTGTCGGCAGCGCCGTTGAATTGCGCACTTCAAGTGAGATGATGCGGTTGACCCACTTGCCCGTGTAGGCGACGGAGCGATACCAGGTCGCGTTGGCGCCGCGGCGGTCAGCTTGGTCGTAGGTGACGAGGTTGGCGTCGTCACTCAGCTTGATCGATTGGATGGAATCGCGAAAGGGGACGTTGGCGGTGCTGGTCTCGTTGGCGGCGAGCGTGTAGGCGCGGCCCTTGTAGTAGGGCCACTCGTACAAAGTGATGTCGGCGATGACGACATTGACGCAGAGCAGCAGCAAGAAAAAGGCGCGTAAGAGCATCAAGCGTCGAGTAAGAATGGGAAATGGGAGTTTTGACACATTTCGTGAATTTGCAGATGGACGTGTTGGACACCGCCTGTCCGGTCGTTTACCGGATACTATTCGGATGATGGGCAAGTTTGATTGGTGCGTTCCATGTCGACAGCGGCAACGACTGTGGACCTCATGGTCCCTGTGGTGCATGGATTCACCGGAATACTGCTGTGGTACTATAATAGATCGCGGTACCGTATCTGCGTCTGCTGCTCTTACCTTTTGCTTCCGGAATAGCTGTTTACAACGCTCGAGGCTGCTTGTACCTCCCAGTCCATCGCCCACGCTACAGAAGCCCAAGGGGCAATCCACAGTTTAGTATTGACGCTGGATACGCCATGTCGATTGCCAGCATTTATAAAAGCATATTCATAGCGTTATCCTAGTCTACTGCTGCGATTACAGGACATTGATCGTAAAGAGCGTGATGGACGCGCCGTCAAAGAGGGGGAACGCTACAAACACCCAACTCAGACGTCACAACCTCGAGAGACAAGTTGGTACCTTGGTTGCGCAGAAAAATGACGCCCCACGTAAACGTCGTGAACCAGAGGTTCGTAAACTGGTTGGTCTGGTACTTGCGGATCACGATCGCATGCGGCACGGGAAGGAGCCCGACCATGGTCGTGCTGCGAAGGAACGTGAGCATCGACGTCTCGTCCAAGCTCCCGCCCGCGAGCTCGCACGCGTCTTCGAGCTGTGGCACGAGGTACTGCAGCAGCCGCAGCGACGTGTTGAGCGGCAGCTTCTTCTTCCAGCTCTGGATCCACGCTTCGTTGGGCACAAAGCGGCCACCGACCACCGGCGCCGGCACGGGCGCGGCCGCCGACTTAGTCGACGACGGTTCTTCGGCCGTCGCGTCCTCGGACGCCGCCGTGTCGGTGAGCGCGACGAGCGGCACGACCGACGGGACGCTCTCGGCGTCGTCGTCGGCAACCGATGGCGTGCTGCTGCTGCGCGGCGTCGCCTGCGTTACCGGCATCGTGAGCGCGTTGAGCTTGTGGAAGAGGTCCTTGTTCTGCACCATGGCGTACACCATTTGTTCGTTGCCTAGTATCAATGTATCAAGATTGGAGAAATGCGCTCCATAGCCACTTGGTGTACCTTCGTACTGGTACTGGATGATGTTGTTGAACGTATCGAGGAGGAAGAAGACGAGGTGGTGGTTGGCTTCGTTGTCGAATAAATACCGCGGCTGCGAAAAGAGCTTGAAGAGGCGCAGAAGACGCACGCTCGACACCTATCCATGTGTCGACTTGAGATGACAGGAAATAGAGATGGGTATACCATGTTGAGCTTCTTGATGTAGGGCGAAATGTTGGAGATGATGGTGAGAAAGCAGTTGTAGACCGAGTTGAGCTTCTCAAAGCCGTTGACGATGACCTTGTGCAGACACACAACGAGGAGGTCGGCGTGGTTGCCGTTGAACGGCGGCAAATCCAGCGGCAGCTTGAGATCGAACGGCTTGTTGAGGTTTACGGCAAAGTCGCGCTCACCGCTCAGCAAGAGCAGAATGAACGTGCAAATGTGAATCATGCCCACCTACGCGATGTCATCTGATGTGATGTGGAGCACGATCGACGCGTAGTACTTTGGACGGCTCTTTCCGGCCTTCGTACATGAGGTACAGCAGCGGCACGACAATCTTGTTGGTGTCGGCGCGCTTGAGCGTAAACTGGAGAAACTTCTTGTTCTCGTCGAGCATCTTCCAAAGCAGCACGAGCAGCTCTTGGTGGCACTTGATCTGCTTGATCGAGTTGGGCAGAATCGTGTTCATGCTCTGGTGGTAGTTGTTGAGGAGCTTGGCGAGCCCGTGGAAGATCAAATCAAAGTCCTCTCTGCACACAGCCACGACGATGAGACACGCCCATATCAAAGACACAAAACGTTGTACTCGCGATGGACGCTTGAGAGCAGCTCGCGGTACTTGTTGCTGCACTAAAATATATGCCACGACAGGTGAGGAGTGCATCGAGGTAGCACAAAAGGGGTAGTACGTACCGTCACGACGCCGTCCGTCTCGATGGCCGGCTTGCCAAAGTCCAAGAGCACAAGAAGCACCTAGCTGCACATTGAAGCGACGCGCGACATGCGGAGCGATCCGAATTTGGCGTACTTGAACAGAGATGTCGACAAGCGTCTCGCGCTCGTCCGCGACGATCGAGCCGGCGTACGGGACGCCCCACCCCACCGGGTCGTAGAGTAGCGTGACATTGAGGAGCGAGTAGAAGAGCGTCGGCGAGAATGCCGATCCTTCGCGCGTGGCGTAGGCCAGGAACGGGTCCGTCGACTGGTCGCACGAGTCTACCGCCATACGTCAAGGCTGGAGGATGAAGAAGAAGGCGAGGCAGTACCGGCCGTGTGGTACAAGATGCCCGAGAAGCACGTGAGCAGGAGCTTGAGCACCTCCTTGCGGTTCTTGTCGTACAAGACAGCGTGCGTGGCCGACGCGTCTGGGAAGCCGACGCCCGAATACCACAAGAGCGACGGGTAGACTTTGGCGCCACTGCCGCTCGTCGAGAGCTGCTCGCGGTACGCCTTGTACGCCGGCGCCGATACGGTAAAGTCGGGAAGGAAGAGAAGGCCCATGGTCGCGTCAATGAGGCGCTTGGCCAAGCACGTCGGTGGCGCTTCGGAGGCGTCGTCCGCGGTAGGCAGCGGGCCCCAGAGCAGCTGCTGCACAAAGTCGTCGCCACGGTCCTAATGGCATAGGCGTCACATACACTGCTGCATCGTCATCGACACCGGACCTCGAGGATAAAGGGCATGGTCCGCGTCAGCACGCGAATGCAGTTGACCGCCTGCGGGTAGTACTTGGGCAGCGGCGTGTCGACGATCTGATGCAGCTGCGAGATGGCCTGCGTGAGCATCGTGCTCAGGTTGGCCTGCTGCTTCTGGCGCAGCATGCGAATGTCATCGGGCTGGATGAGCGTGAAGATTTCCTAATGGCACGCTGCATGGAGCGCCACGAGCATGGAGACGGAAGGTCTACCTCGGCCGTCGTCGGGATCTTCCAGAGCTTGTCCCAGAACTCGAGCTGCCGGCTCGAGACCTCCTCGTTGCTGAGCTTGTAGACGGACTCGCGGAACTTGCTCTTGCTGTCGCTGTTGCCCATCGCGCTGGTAGTCAGTATAGTGAGCAACCGAACGGTTGGCACACGCTGATTGGCTAAAAACCTGGCATTTCCAGTGCTCCTCGTGGGCATGGCACGCGATGGGATTGGTTGAAATCCTACACAATTTAAAACAAGGACAAGTCCGAAACCAAGGGCCTAGCAGAACCAACGACAAACGACAAGGAGCGCTATGGCACGGGTCGTGTGATAATAGGGCAGCGCACTGGTCTGGAGGCAAGCACGTACTCGCTCAAAGAGCGCATGTGCAGTAAGGTAACGACCCGTAGGAGCGCCCAGGACATACGCCAAAATCGGACTGTCCTTGGCGACCATCTCCGAAATACTCCGGGCAGAGCCGAACTTACCACCGAATTCTACTTGGTATCGGAACTTACCACCGAAAAAGATCGCTGCTCACATTGCTCGCCCAGCTGCCACGCCCCTGTGCATAGCTGGTTGGCACAGTCTTCAGCAGGCTGGTTCTACAGTACCGTAGTTACGGACCCTCGCGCTCAGATCCTTATATTCTACGCTCGCTGGAGACGATTGCACCGGCTTCAATCTGCAGTCAACACTGCGACAACGAGCACGTGCGAGTCCGAGTGGTCGGGTCAAAGTCACTGACTTTACTCTATTATGGTCGGGCACGTCGAGACAGCTTAGTCAGATAGATCGAGGCCGTATCGAACGCACAAAAGAAGGGCTCTCTGCGCTGCCTCGTACCGCTGCTCGCCAATGCTCAGCGACGTCACTGCACTGAATTCGGAGCGCCAGCATCTCTTCTGTACGCTTTGCTTCCTCCTTTCCCGCTTGAAGATGGCTCCTGTTGGACAAAGCCCTTGTGACACGGCCGTGGAAAGTGATGTGTCTTCTTTATTTCTGACCTTGAAGCTACTTGACGAAGCTACTACTTGAGGCGTAGATGTGCCCAGCTTGCGTTGCTAGCCTCAGGTGTGATCTCGCACTCCTTTGGTCTGCGATCCTGAGCGCTTCTACCGGTAACAAGCCCTGGCAGACTCACCGCGATCACATGGATGATGCGCAGCGCTGGTGATCACTGTCCTTTGTCGATGGAAGAAAGGCACGAGCGACTCACGTTGGTTCGGCGGCATTCTTTAATGCAGCTATGAAAAAGAGACCGCACCCTGCGACCACGACAGGCGATATTAAGCGTCGACGCGCCGCCTCCACGCTTTGCACACAGTGGGAACCAGCTTGTCTCTGTAAAGGAGGTCAGTCGACAAGCAAGCCGTGTAACAGGCTAAAGGAAGACATGGAATCGCGCATGCCGACAGTCAGTTCAACGGCCGTGTCGGGCAACGTGGGTGAAAGGCAATTTGCCGTTTTTGAGGTTGCTCCACGTGGTCAAGATACTCGACCAGCTGGGATCGGCCAGCATGACGTTTACAGCTGGCCTTCGATCGGAAATGGGTCTGAGCACGGCACTTCATAATAGTGAGCCGATGCCATGTCCAAGGCTTGCGCAATCGGTGCGGCTTGCCAAAGGGCTGCATGATATAATGTTTAGCGCTCTAAGAGAACAGCCCAGCGCCACGGTTGTCAATTTTAACAAGTGCACACGACCGCGGACGCTCGAGATACCGTCTTTGCTCGCGTTGCCGCCTTCATGTCTTTGGCAATCTCAGAGCGCAGTAATGAAAAGCAACGCGCGTCAAGTGATCGTGGTTACAGAGCATGGTGGCGTGTCGCGGCGTCTATCCATACGGAACCGAGCCAACGGCCCATACCACGGGGCCCATACCTTCACGCTTCATCCCTCCACAGCTAAACCAAACAGGCGCTGCATCAACAAGCAAGGTAACAAAATCGGTGCAGCAACCACCTGCAGTCAACCGTGGAGCTTCTAGCTGTCTGTACCAACACGTGGTTTCAGATGTCGTCTGATCAGCTGCCGCACCTCTGCTGCATCTATTCCCCTTTTACCACAGCTTGCCAGAATTGATTTCACCGCGCCCTGCGCAGTAGAAGAACCAACCGCAGCATGGACCCACCGCGCAAGGGTATCTACCTCTACACGCCCGAGCCCGTGCACAAGCCCGCGATGCTCGGCAGCGCTGCCTCGTCCACGAGCTCGCAGGAGCGCCGACCCGCGCACTTCGAGTCGACGAACGCGCGAACCAACTTTCGATCGACGCCGCAAGACCATACTGCGGGGCCGCACACGCCGCCCGTCGGCATCTACGCGCTGCAAGACGACCCGATTCTCGAAGGCCAGGCCGCGGCGCCCCACGGCAACTACGACTCGCGCGAGACCGCCACGTTTTTCAACTCGATGGCGGTCGTCATTGGCGCCGGCCTTGGCATTGGTCTCGGCCTGCTTTTGAGCAAATTTGATGTCCCGAAAGACCTCGCGCTCTGGCTCGAGCTGCCCGGCAACCTCTTCGTGCGCGCTCTCCGGTGTCTCATCGTGCCCATGGTGTTCTGCACCATGACGGTCTCGATCGCCGAGATCGTCGTTTTGAACAAGACGTCGATTTTAACGTGGCGCACGGCCGCGGTCCTCTTCTCGACGTCGATTCTGTCGACGATGCAAGGCATGGTCGTCGCACTGGTGTACAATAGTGTCTTTAACGCCAACTGGCCCGTCACCAACGGCAACGGCACGTCGACCAACGGTATCGTGCTCGGCCTCCGCTGTGCCAACGGACAGTTTCTCGAGACGCTTGCCGACGGCAGCCTCGCGTGTCTGAGTGCTGCTGCCAACGCCACCGCGCTCTTCACCGTCAAGGACGTCAACAACGTGTTGAGCACCAACTCGGCCTTCCAGGATCTCTCGCTGACGCAGCAGGTGATTGCCATCATCAACCTCGCCGTGCCCGACAACATTTTCGCATCGCTCGCCGACGGGTCGCTCTTGAGCGTGCTTATGTTTGCCTTGCCGCTCGGTGTCGCCGTCGCCAAGTCCCACAGCGAGGCGCTCGGGGCCGGCAACAACTACCTCCTCAACATTCTGCGCCAGAGCCGCAACACACTCCTCCTCATGATCAACGCCGTGCTCAAGCTCACGCCGTTCGCGGTCTTCTTCCTCTTGACAAGCTCGATCGTCTCGTACAGCAGCAACACGAGCAACGACATCGTCTCCCAAGGCGGGTACCTCATCCTCTTCTTCGTCAGCGGCGTCATGTGCCACGTCCTGATCGTCATGCCGTTGGTTCTCTTTCTGTTCACGCGCCGGAACCCGTACAACTACCTTCGGCAACTCGTACCTGCCTACGTCTTCGCGTTTGGCTGCTCGTCCTCGATGGCGACGCTCCCGGTCGCGGTCACCGTCGTGCACCAGACGCGCCAAGTCTCGCGCCAGCTCGCACAGCTCATGATGTGTCTCGGCACGCCCGTGAACCTCAACGCGCCGGGCTTGTACTACCCGCTCATGACGGTCTTCATGGCCAACGTCGCGGGCGTCGGGAGCCAGCTCCGCGGCCCGGAGCTCGTCGTCCTCTTCTTCGTGTCGCTCCTCGGGTGCATGGGCACCGCGCCGGTCCCGAACTCGGCGCTGGTGATGCTCATGACGGTGTGGAAGACGGTCATGCCCAACGTCGCGCTCCCCGGCGCGTTCGTCTACGTGGTCGCGATCGACTTTCTCTTGGACCGCATCTGCACGTCGACCAATGTCAACGGCAACATGATCGTGACGCGCATCCTCGCCGACTACTTTGACGACTCGTGGGGCAGCGAGACGGGCCCTGCGGAAGCCTAGTTCGTCGGCGTGTGTACTATAGTGTCGTGTGCAATGTACTGTATTTTCTTTGTTGTCGCTAAGATGTACACGTTGTCTGTGCGAAAAGATCACGTCTGGCGAGCGCCGAAACCAAGCGCAGAAGAGCCCTCGCCGACACGAGCGGCTGCTGTCGATGTGGAGCGACAGCTGCGGGTGTAATATCGCCTTCTTGAAGCACACTTGAGAACCCAAAGCGTTCTCAGGTTCCAACGAGGAGGATGCGTGTATCCTTGACCGCCTGTCTTGCATGGGATACCAATCTGTACCACATTGCAGATCGTTCTCAGAAAGCTTTCTCAGAAGCGTCGTGGTTGGGTGACAAGCTCAGCTCGACACGCTCGCATTATTGTCAGCTCCAATGTGCGCGAACAAAAGAATAGGTTAATCGCGCATGAGACGTCGGCGCTTGATGTGGCGGGACTGCAACTGCGCGTCGTCATCGTCGTCATCGTCGTCGTCCTCTTGGTCGTGGCGAGCTGTGGCCGGACAGTCGTCGTCCTCCTCGTCCTCGTCCGGTGCCTGTTCGTCCTCGCTTTCTTCGGGCGGCGCCGCGACACCACCGTCCTCGTCCTCGTCGTCGTCCGCATCGGCCTCGTCGTTGTCGTTGGCCCCAATGATGACTTGAACCTTGTCTTGGTTGAAACGAAAATCACGCGCTTGGCGGCGAATGCACCAGCGCTTAAAGTTGGTAGTCTACCGCACGTCATCCTCATTTGTGTTGCATTCCAATGCCATTCAAAATACCTTGCAGCGCTTGGAGAGCTTGATGATGCCGACGTCATACTGTTCGACTTGATAAATGACGTCTGGAATGAGCTTGGCTTCCTGTGCCGGCATCTTCTTCTTGGGGTTGGCAACCGCCTTGCGCTTGTTCTCTTCGTGGTGGCACGCGACAAAGTTGAGGACCTACACATATTTGTACATGTACCGTCCATAAAGCTCACGACGCAGTCATACCAGGGGCGCAAGCTCGCGGCTCGTGGCGTCCAGAAACGTCTTGAGCGGTGGCGAGACCTGCGAGACCTTGCTCTTGATCTTGGCCTGGATCGCGAGCGCGTGGAGCTTGAAGAGGCGAAGCAGCATGCGGAAGAGCCGCAGAGTCGTCGGGCCGTGCGGAAATGAGACAGTAATGAGCGGCGCAATCACACGACTGAGCTCTGTGAGCTGGTCCAAGACAGCGTCCAGTTGCACCTACCGACGCATCAAGCCTCAAATCAACAAGACGACGACCGACCTCGGACATGGCTTTGACCGTCTTGAGCGTATGCTCGGTGGCACCGCACGACTTGTCGAACGCATCGAGGAAAACGCCGGCCACGAGCACAATCGTCTTTGCGTTCAAGCACGCATACGTGACGCGGTCGTCGTCCTCGTCGTCGTTGCCGGCGGCGTCACCGCCCTCGAGGTACGCGAGCATCGCCGTGGAAATACGCACGCGGTACGAGGGCTCGAGCAAGAGCGTTGTGAAGAGACGCGTCACCAGCGGTAGCGACGTGAGCGCTTGGCCAATGCAAATGGCTTCCATCCACTTCCATGCGTTCAAGCGCGTCGGTAGGCGTGGGTACCAGTGCGTAATGAGCAGTTGCAGCACGAGGTCGGCCTCGGCTTCGTGCGACTGCCGCAAAAGAGCAAAGATCTTCTTCTGGATGTGCTCGACAGTCCCGAGCGTCGACTCGGCTAGGTCCGGCGCGATGCTCAGCAGTACGACGAGCGTCTCGTATGCCATGGCGGCCAGCGACTGCTTTCCCGTCGCCGAGAGGCCGCCGTCCGCCGCGGACCACAAGAGACGCGCCAGCTGCGCGAGGAAATCCTTTTGCGTACGCACCGACATGCGAAAGATGAGGAGCGGCTTAACCTCGAGCCAGCTTCGGCTCGAGAGAAGACTCCACTCCAGCAAAAGGTCGTGACTGTACTGCAAAACGCACTGCTGGACGTTGTAGTGGTGCGTCACGTCGCCATGCCCAAAGATCGACTGCAGCGCCATGAGGAGGTTGCGCGGGTGCACCAAACAGTGCGGTGTCATGACCGGGCTGGCAGTCGAGCCGGTCGCGGACGGCTGGACCGTCTTGGTCTTGGCTTTGATTGCATTGTCGTCCTTGTCGGCTTTGGCCTTGGGGCCGCGCTCTTTTTTCCGCCAGACGCTGCCGACGGTGCTTGAGACGGTGACACAATCTCTTGAACGCTCTCTCGGAGCTGCACGAGCTTGAGCGTGTGCTCGAGCTGGTCGGGCCGGAGGCGGGACGACCGCATGCCATCGTCTTTTCCCTAAAAACCCATCATCAACGCCAAACGAAAGACCCGAATATAGTACCCAGACATAGTTGAGCACCACGTCGCAAAGCTTCAGCAAGTCGGACGCGCGATCGATCGTGGCTTTGCCCGCGGCCGTGACGCGCACGCTCGGGTCCATCGGTGACGCATCGAGCTCATAGTCTTGCAGTTCCATGTGCAAGAGGCGTTCGAGGACCGAGTGGACTTTCTCGGGGCTGCACGTCAAGACGAGGTCAAGCAAAAGCGGTGTCGCTTCGTCGGGCTTGAGCTGCAGCGCCGGCGTCAGCGCCGCGTTCGTCTCAATCAAGGCCGAGAGCGTTGGCCACACGAGGTCTTCGACGCTGGACGCCAAGTCGGGGCTCAGCTTGACGAGGGTCTTGAGCTCGCGGTACAGCGTTGCGCGCACGCTCTTTTGACACGCCATCGCCCGGCGAAACATGCCAGCAAACTGACGAAAGACGCTCGGGAGGTGTCCAGCATCAAACTCCATGGCGTCCATGTCCAAAATGGACTGCGACTGGGACACGAACGCCCGCTGCGTGAGCGACTGCGACGAGAGCGGACGTGATGAGGACGCGTTGTGGGCAAGTACCATTTGCGTGAGGTACTTGGGCTTCCCACCCGCACTGCCCGAGAGCGACAGGACGCAGTCGAGGATCGTGCAAAACCCGTGGATGGCAATCGCGCGCGACGACTCTTCGCGCCGAAACATGGCTTTTCGCAGCGTGAGCACAAGCGCGTTGCGCAAATGGACCTTGTGCTTGAGCAATGGCGGCAACGTGCGAAGCACCGAGCGCGCGACTTCCAAGCTAAAGCCAGGAAGGTACTCGAGGAGGTCGCGGACGCGGTCGAGAAAGGCCGCGTCGAGGTCCATGACACAGTGCTGCAAGAGCGCGCCGAGGAGCTTGATGTGCGGCAGCTTCGGCGGCAGCGACGTCATGGACGTTGTCGACAAGCACCAATGCACAATGGCCTCGAGGACGCTCGCGCGGACGCACTCGTGGTGTCGAAACGTGTACAAGATGACTTGGACGCCGACGTCGAGCACCTTTTGGTCCTTCGACTCGAAGAGCGAGAAGCCGAGGGCGACCGCGCTCGAGAGCAAAACTTCCATTTGACCGCGTTCAAAGGCCTCGAGGACATCGAGGAGCAAGGTCACGCCGTCTACACGCTGTGAAGACCAAAACGACGCGCGCACCGGGCGTACCCGAGGAAGTGGTCGCGAGCGTGTGAAAGTACTCGAGGCAATTCTTGTCGATCGTCGCCGTAAACTTGTTGTGGCTGCGCAGCAAGAGCAGAAGCGCAAAGTGCGTCGAGGTCCACGACTGGGTGAGGCGGTACGGCATGAGCATCTCGAGGAGGACCGCGCCAAGCATTGTATCTTGCGCAAGGAGCTTCTCAAGCTGGTACAAGATGGTCGCTTGGAACGCGCGAAGCTCGCGCGGGCCAAAGACAACGTGGCCAGCTGTCGGTGCGCGGTGGTGCTTGGGCTTGGTGGCGTCGATTGAAAGCTGGTCGAGGTGCGCGACGAGGCTCTGTAGCACCATCGCCTTCAAGTTGCGCGGGTGGTCCCGCACAAACAAAAGCAAATGGTAGTACAAGCCCGGTAAGAGCGCATAATCAGGCTGCATACCGTCCTCGATCGGTGTCATTTCAATCGACAGCTGCGCAAGAAATTTGGTGCAGATCGCTGCATGCTGGTCGGCCGACCACGCTACTTCCCGCAGCACATTGACCATCTAGATTGGATACTGTAAGAGAATCGGACAAAGAGGTTCATGGACCTGGGCGAGGAGGCGTAATGGCCAGCGCGCTTGGAGGAGCCGGTCGAGGGACTTTTCGACGTAGACCGCGCCGGTCCACTCGGCCTCGTCGGAGAAGTCCCAGATCGACGGCGCGTGCGATGGCAAAGCCACGTGCGAGAAGCAGAGCATGCGCCCATAGAGATGCGGTAGGAGGTCGGCCGAGGGCAGTGGCATCGGGATGACGCTCGCCGACTCTTCTTGGTCCCGGTACGCCTTTTCAATGCCGAGGAGAACATGCTCAATGAGGCTCGGGACGCTCGTCATGTCCAATGTGTCGATCTCGCGCTGGAGGAGGTCCACGAGCTGCGTGCAGAACACGAGGTGCTTCTTCGTCTGCGCCAAGTGGCTCTGCATGAGCAGCTCGAGGAGCTCGAGAAAGAGCGTGCGTCGGCGGACCTCGAACTTGCGCGGACGTGACCCGAGCTCGCCCTTGGTCGACCCGCGGAAGAGGCCCTTAACGAAGTCGAGGAGGTCGAGGAACTCCATGTCCCGGTAGAGCTCCATCACGGTCCCCGAGATCGTGGCGTCGTCGAGGTCCGTGACCGTGTCTCGGATCGCTTGGCTCTGGAGCATGTCCATCTCGTCCACGTACTCATCTCCATCACCCCATACGTTGGCCTCGGCCTGCCGGTTGAGCTGCCGCTGCTGGAAGAGGACCTGCTGCGCCCGCGGGTCCATGGCGGCAAGTTGTTCGAGGACCTCGAGCGCGCGAACTTGGTGAGCCAACTCCGGGTTTTCACCGGGTTACGTCAAAAGATGTCAAAAGATGTCGAAATGCTGCACACTAAAGCATGCAATCTGAATATAGTGTTATAACCCAACCTGACATCGCGGTACGCTTGCCAGCTCGATTCGTGCGAGATGAACGGCAATCCATACGTGGAGAAGGCGCTGGTCGAGTCGATGTATCCATATCCCCAAGCAGCAAGGTTTCTGTTGATAGACCAGGCACGGAGCTGGAAGGAATCCCGGTGAAAGCACGCAAATGGTGTGCGATGGAAAAATAGCGCAATTGATTGGTGGCAGCGCGATCGGATCCGTCAGGGTTGTGTCAGTCTGGAATTTGCGTCGAACTGGAAATGAGTAGGAATCTAGATGTCTAGGACAAGTCGTGATCGTGTGATGTTGCAAAAACCAAGATCTGCTCTGAATTTCGTTGAGGAGACACCCCTCTTTGAGGGAGTACTGCACTGATGATCATCGTACATCACCTCTGTTATAGTCATAGAAGCTAGAGTAGTGCGTACACGCTACCGTCAAATGATGCTGCAAAAACCAAGATCTGCTCTGAATTTCATTGAGGAGACACCCCTCTTTGAGGGAGTACTGCACTGATGACTCGAAACCCTTAAAATCCAACGTCAATATGAAGTTCCACCACATTCTACTTCACGATCCACCACGCTCTTGTATCACGTCCTTCAAAACTTCTCAGCGTATCTGATGGGAACGGCATTGCCACCATGCCCCGCCACCGTCGATTGCACTTGAGACAGCCCTCGAGTTCACAAAACAAGTGCACTTCCATTGCAGGCCAAATTGGACGATTTTTATCAACATGACTGTAGGACAACTAAAAACCACAGGGCACCTTGTACGTACTAGTAATCGGCGTGGCGTCCGTGGGCGTGGATGCGCTTGTGCACGGTTTGCTGCACAGCGACTTCGTGGCGCGTCACGGTGGTTTCGAGGCCGTACAGAATCTGGAGGTTGCGAATATCGCCGCTGCTGAGGCCATCGCGCTGCCCGAGGACCTTGGAGGTTGCTGGATCGCAGTGATGTTTTTCGGGCACGACGCACCCGTCGTCTTCGTTTTGGTCGATCGCGCAAAACTTGATGCTCTTATCGGTCGGTAAACAGAGACCGACGCCGTAGTGCATGATCGAGTGAATGTCATATTGCGTCACGAACGCCTCCTTGATCGGCATGTAGTTGCTGCGCGATGCGCCAAGGAACTGGCCACGAAGCACGATCGCCTCGGACGCCGGGTGCGCGTGCTCGTGGATGACGCCAAACGCATGCAGCATCTCGTGCATGACCGAGCCCATTCCGTGCTCGAACGCCGATGGAAGCAAGTTAAGCTTTTGCCCCGCTTTGTGCCGGTACCCGAGCTCGGCGTACGTCCCGCGCTTGTTTCTTTCTTGGGCAATCGACACGTAGTGCGCGCAGCCGCCGCAGATCGCGTCGTGGTGCTTGCAGTTTGCGACGTCCAGCATGGTCACGCCAGTCGACTCCACGATCTCGTGCATCGCACGCTGAATGGTGCGGCGCTCGACGTCGTCAAACGGCGCGTCGAGCTTGTAGCAGAGCGTGGCCAGCGGCCAGAGCCGCCGCTTCCGGTCCGTGGCCAACCCGAGACGCCGCTTCGCCTCGGCCTTGCGGCAGTCGACGATCGCATCGACATCGCTATCGGCCGTCCCGTCTTCTTCGTAGCACGTAATGACGCCGTCGGCGCAGACCTGGTAGATGGCGCCATCGTCCTGCGGCAAGCCAAAGACGTACTTGAGCTGGCCGTCGCCGAGATGGTGCCGGCCGTCCGGGTTGTGGACCGCATCCAGCGGGAGCTCGCAGGAAACCCCTGCCGCGGCCAGCGAGGCCATTGTCGCGAGTGCGCCCAAGTACTTCATGCTGCTGCTGCTTGGTTGTAAATGACGAGCTGCGCACCTTGGGCGGCAACCAGGCTGGTGACCTTGCCAAACAACTGGCCAATCAAACCCTAGGATTGCCACTTGGAGTCGATCGACGATGTCTCGTAACGGCCCAACACAAACACGTTAGGTGATTACATTTGGCTTCACTATACCACAACGCGCCGAAGTACTCAGTGGGATTTACGTACATCTATACAAATGCCAAGTGCCATGGTACGTTCATTCGTATGAAGTCGTACATGTACCCAGTTGCCCTCGTGGCCAGTGGCGCTCGTGGCACGCTGACGTAACAGTGCATGCTTCCCACGTAGATAGGGACACGGCTGATCGAACCACAGCAGCGTGCGACGACGCATCGTCACACAAGAAGAACATCCTTTCTCGATACTGCTCGATAGCTCCGCTCGATGATAACTCTACCACCGTCGACCAGACTTGTGTTTGAAAAGAAGGCTTGCCGACGATGACGCACGATCGCGAGCAAGCCAACGTCAATTAGACAAAGTACCGACATGGGTACAACCGGTGGTACATGCATTACGGGGAATCGAGAGGGTCAAAGGCATGGATGGTTGTTCTGCGTCGTACAATCAACAGGATCTCTCTCGCTGTTTCCACTGTAGTTGGCGTGTCGAGGGCACACAAAGGGATAATAAGTCTATATTGGGTGGGGTAAAAGAGTACAGAGAAGAAATCTATGGAATAGGGGATCGGGTCAAGGGATCGACCGGTAGTGTACATCGGGGCTACGACGTGGCGAGCGCAAGCTGGTCTTGCCAATGGCCGAGGTTGCGCTCGACCTGGTCCAAGCAGTGCTTGAGCGAGACCTTGGGCACCTTGGCCAGCGTCTCAAAGACAGGTCGGACAATGCCAATGATAAAGCCTGCTTGCATTTTGGCTTCTGGAATCGGGTTGACGCGGTCGCAGCCAAAGCTCACGGCGATGCCGAGTTCGCGCTCCTTGTCGCCTTGGGCGTAAAACTCTTCCATGATGCGCGACGTCCAGACCGAGTAAATGTCCATGGGCTTGACTGGGTTGCACACGTCAGCCGCATGCAGCGCCACCTACACCGCCATTCACCCCACTTCTCTCACTAGTCAATCATGTCTACCTGCAAGAGCAACTTTTGATCGTCGAGGTTGCTAAAATCCGTCTGGTCTTCGTCCGCACTAATACCAATCGCACCAAATCAGATGTGATAACCCAGAGCATTCTCGACTAGTATACTACCTTTAGACCTTCCAGACGACCGAGGTGGATCGCATGGTTCTTGTTATCCGTCGCGAGGATCATGTCGATGATGAGGTTGCGGACCTGCACACGACAACATGTTGAACCCTCAATCCTATCCAGTGGCTACCTCGATTTTTTCCAGGTCGTTGAGCGTCGCCAGCACGTCGCACTCCTTGCTCTGCATGAGCTCGAACGCGAGCGCGCAGTGCATGTTCTCCAGAGGCGACCGGTATGCATACCGGATCGCGAGCGGGTCGTTCGTGGCAATGTGAAAGTTGTTCGAGTACCCCGTGTGTCCCTACTCGTCCGCGATGAGACAAATCTTGCCCCACGTCGCGTGGTCGAGTACGATGTCGTGGACCGACGCGGCAATGAGCGCGGCTAGCTTGCCACGCATGGAAATCTGCGTCCCGAGGCCGCCAAGCGACAGGAAATGATGCACGCACTGCGTCACGTCCGCAGCATGCTCGGCTAGCCCGCCATCAGTTCTTAGTGTCCAATTATGTGGTGCGTACCGTTGTGGTACGGGTTGGCCAAGTACTGGCTTTGCACGCTAGGAATCCAGCATGAGTGTCCATCGTGGGATCGCGTGCGTACGCATAGTAGAAGCTCCGGAGGACGACCGCGGGAATGTGAAAGTGGCGCGTCAAGCCCTCGGCGTCAAAGCACGTGCAGCCCACGATAAGAAGCACGTCGGCGGCTTGGACTTTGCAAAGCTATTGATGATGACATGGCATCTCGCTCGTTGGGTATCGGATCGGGTGGGACGGACCTCGAGCACGTTGAAGCTCCACGTGGAGATCTTGGAGAGCTCCTTCTTAACGACACCAAACGACGATGTTTGGTCCGCGGCCCAGTACGCCTCGAGCGTGCCGATCGGATACGATCGCTCGGGCGACCCGTCGAGCGAGTGGCGCTTCTCGGCTCTGTGCACAAATCGTTTCAGATGCTGCAAGACGGCAAGCAAGAGATCTATATTGACGACGACGTACGAGGCAGCTTCGGGGGTCGGCGGGCGCGAGCCGCGAAAAGCCTTGACGCAGCGCTGGACGAGGCTCGTGCGGCGCAGCGCGGAGCGAAAGTTCTCCTTCGAGTCTTCGTTCTGCCGCTGTGGCGTGAGGCGCCATGCAGTGTACGAGTCCATTGACGTACCTTGCTCGAGTAGTTTTGGTGGATAAAGCCCTGGACCTTGTCGTCAAAGACGTGCTTGTGCGAAGAAAACTTGCGCTGAAGGTTGCGTTCAACCTAGTACCATGCGTTCAGAACGCGGTGCATAGAGGAGACGAGCGGACCGCGCGCGTGTACACGGGCGTGTCAGGGTCCACGAGCTCGATGAAGACCGTCAGCAGCGTATCAATGTCGTCCAGCGTCATTGTCGTCGTCGAGCTCGCGTTGTCCATGCACTCGGCATGGCTCTTCTTCAAGATCTTGACGGCCGCGACAAGCGAGGTCGCGTCGCTCTCGTCCTCGTCGCTGCTGCTGACTCTGGCCTCGACCTCGTTGGCCTTGGAGGCCGCGACCTTGGAGTCGCGCAGGACGCGCGCGGCCTCCTTGAGCGCCTCGCGCTGCTTTGTCAGTGGCATCGACGCCAACGGCCGCAAAGCCAAACTGCGCCCGTAGAAAGGCTGCAAATAGACGCTGCTGTTTTGCAGCCCCCGGGGGGTAGGCCCATCGAATCCCGGCCGCCGCTCGAAGCCACGTGTATTTTAATACGCTGGACACGCCAATACACTTGAAACCACTATGGAGGATACCCTACAGCGCATTAAAAAGAGGGGAAGCCAACGTGGGTACTTTAAAAATTTCGGGCACCCGCACCGACCGTGAAACGGCCGCCCGGGTCGGTCGAAACGGTTGGCTTCGAAATTGACGGTCTTTTTCCAAAGCTCGTCGGCTGCATGTCCCGAGATGGCGCTTGTGGCTTGAAGCGACTTGCAGTGAGATTCGACTCGGCATCTCAACGTCGACGAGACAACTCGAGTAGCCGCCGACGTAGTACGGCTGCTTCAACGAGAAGACCGGATGATTCGGGCGCTCTCAGCGTGGCAACGCCCATGATGGCTCTGACATGGACATGCTATGACCAGCTGCGCGTCATGATGTTCTGCGCATCTGCCGCGTATCAACTTGAAAAAATCGAAGACCAAGCGACCGCGCCACGAAGAGGCTACTCGTCCAAGCCCGAGGTTCTGCGTCAGCGGTGCGCCGGGTCGCAGCGTCGGCGGGCTCTACACGGTACTCTTTGTATGCAATGAGTGGCGACGGCGCAATGCACCCAACGTTGGCACCATCGAACCCGGGCGACAAAGCTACTGGAGCGTGGGACGACCATGCAATCGTCTCCGTGCATCGTCGAAAGGCGCGTGCCAAGTAAGCTCGCGTAATGGGCGACATTCAAAGGCGACAGAGTGCGCTCGACTTGTGGATCACACGTCGCACGTGCATACCGGTACCGGTGGGACACGAAGGGTACAGTGTACCAGCCCACCCGAGCCCCTCGACAAGGGCTTTTATTTCTCATGCGATGCTGCATGTCCTTGTCGCGGCATGGAACGTACCACGTCCTCCGCGTCGCCCGCCTCGAAAGAGGGAATGCCGTTGGATCGTCTGAGACGGTGGCACAAAGCGGCGTCCAGGGTCCACCTCGATAAATTAAAGAATGATTACGACGACGACGACGAGTAGACGGAGCTGGCAACCGCTGCCATCAGGATGTTTTTGATCATGGCCGGGTCTTCGCCGCGTGTGCTCGTCTCGAGGCGCGCGACGAGCTTGGCGACGACGGCGTCCATGTTCCGGGGCGAGCTCGAGTTCTTGCGTTCAATGATGCTCTCGCGGACGAGGTTGTCGCTGAGGAGGTCGTAGCGCGAGCTCTCGCTCTCCTCGTCCCATTCGACGGTCTCGTCGAGCGTCGCGAGCTCGTCCTTGAGCTTGCCGCCGTCGACGCTCAAAAACGACAAGTCGGACTGCCGCTGCAGCTGCTGGTACACGACCATCTCGTCGGGCGAGAGGTCCGAGAGCACCGAGAGCCGCTGCGTCACGGACGCGACCAGGTTGCTAAACTGCCACGAGTCGCTCTTCTCGGCCGGCGAGAGCGGCCCGGACGACGACCGAATCGAGTGAAAGACGACGCTGTCCGCGTCGAGACCAAACACCGTCGCGTTCTCGCGCTCGTCGTCGTCGGGGACGTCGTCGTCGAGCGCATCGTCGTCTTGGTGGTACTGGGCCGTGTTGCGCAGCGTGACGGGCTTGGTCGTGGGTGCTTCGTGGACCTCGAGCGAAGCTTGCGTGATATCCTGCTGGTGGTGGACGTCACAGGACAGTGACACGGACGGACGAAACGGGTTGGCAACGAGCGCGGACCGCATCGAGAGGAACCACTCTTTGGACTGGAACCGCTTCAGCGGGCGTGGCGTAAAGATCGCCGAGTGCTCGCTCGTCGCCTGTGCACTCCCGCGCGCGCAGCGTGTGCAGATGCGAAGGTTTTGCTTCCCGCTCGCGTCGGCCGTGAGCGCGCGCCAGACCGAGCTGCACTTGCGGCAGACAACTTGTCCACACTTTCGGCAGTTGTGCTTGTGGAGCGTCGCAAAGTGAAAGGCGTGCTGGCACACGGCGCACTCGGAGCTCTCGTGCTTGGCGACGAGCGTCTCGGCGAAGCCCTGCGCGGTCAAGTGCCGGCGCTGGAAGTAGCTCTCGAACCGGCCGAGCGCGACGACGCGGCGCTTCATGATCTGCGACACGAGGTAGCTCGGAATGTTGCCCTTGAGGTCGGCCTGGAGCACATGCACGACTTCGAGGCGCGTCGGGTCCTCGGCGCACTCGACAAACACAAAGCCGGACCGGTAAATGCTGCCGCGAACGAGCTGCAGCGAGCTCTCCATGTTGGGGCAGTTGGACGAGCTCACCGAGTGCATGCTGCTCACCCAGCCGCGCCGCCCCGTCTTGCGGTCGACGAATTCGTCTTGGCACTATACGTTCTGCGATGAGGACGGGGCCATCTTCTACAGTAATACCTCGAGGACGCAAAAGTCGCGCGGGCGGGCAAAGAGCGTTGGCGACTTGACCGCGTGCCACTTCATGCCAATGTAGTGCATCGGGTTCTCGTCGTTGGGCACGACGAGGTTGCAGAGGTTGGCGCAGTCGAGGTAGTCGGGTGCAAACACCTTGGCGTACTTGCGGTACTTGTCGGTCGAGTCGGTCGAGAAGACGGCCGCGACCTCCTCGAGCGTCGCCTTGATGTACGAGACGGCGCAGTAGTACGAGAGACTGCTCGTGTCGCCAGGAATCTTGCCGCGAAACACTTGGACGCGGGCTTTCGCCGACGTGAGCGGCACCCACGAGACGGGCCCGCCATGGCGCCGCGCGTAGTAGATGACCTTGGTGCACGACTTGCGCGCGACCGATTGAAAAAACGCTTTCTCGGCCACCGACATGTGCGGCTTGGGGAAGTGGTCCAGCGGCAGCGGGAAGCGGTCGCGGCTCCGGTCCTTCCGTACGAGGTGGTGCATGAGCGACAAAGATGCAGAGTGGCCTCGTTGGAGTTTGCACTAGAGATACTGCGTATGACGTCAGGACCATACCGTGTGTCATGCCGGAAACCGAGCGCTCGTGGGACGATTGGTCGGTTGACAAACCGGATTGGCCCAATCCACTGTCCGCTTCTATTTTCTAGAGAATATGATTGGCGCACAGAATTTATACGCTGTACGCAAGAAGGTGACTTACGCACTGGCTTGGTCTTTCGACACGGTTTGACCACTTGCAACGATGGAACGTTCCGCTGCAGCCGTCGCGCTGTGTTGATGGCACGTACTCATCGGCTTTTGGGATGCGTCGCGGATGGACCAAAGGACCTCTCATGCGCGAGGGTCTTTGAGCGCACGGAACCGACGCTGCGACACAAGGCGACACGTAGGAGGCAGCTGGTGCATGGATGGGCCACCGCGTCGCTTCTTTGCCGTGCCCACGACGCTAGACGCGACTCGTTGATGTCGAAGTTCGAAGAGCAGCTGTATCACGGCCCCGAACGTCCACGTGCTTTGGCGGTAATTGTCGACCACAGAGGCGCTTTCCCAGCACGCGTCTGAGTGGCAACGATCGTCGACCGGAGACGCCGCATCTCCGGCATCAGCTTGCCGATGAGATTCCTCGCGGCCTTTTGAACTTCAAGAGATGGAATATGGCTTCTTCATGCGCGTGTGCTCTTGCGGTGGAGGCTGGCTGCGGTGACGCGCCCACATCGGCGCCACGTACAGCCAAGAAGCTTCCAACCTTACTGGCCCGAAGAAGAGGCATGGACAGTGACGCACCATGCACACCACGCGTGTTTGGATTGGTTTCGAACAAAATAGAAGCGCTGCTCTCCTACGTCGCTGGCTTGTAGAAGTGTGCATGAACGAGGATCGAGTACGTAGGTATGCAATGTGATGTGATGGGAGCGTCACGTCATGTGCGCAGCTGCGCCGCTGTATCGAGACAAGGCGCCAAATGAACCTGAGTGGACCCAAAAATACGGTTCCGTCGCTTCAAACAGTGTTCGAAACAGTGTATGGAGAGCGGCTGTCGAACGCAAGAGGACGTGGCAGGAGCACGATGAGACTCGTAGTTCTCGTTTTACTTCATCGCGCTGCATTGCATGAGACCAGCATCATCTTGTACCACACGGTACTGAGCCGCCGACGCCAACCAAAATCTTCAGCAGAGATGGCACTCGAGTGCAGACAAATTGCCCGCGCCAACTTTGGTGCATTGGTGCAGTACTATCGACGGAGATTGCGATCTCGTCCGTGCGACGCCACAACGACCTCCTACTTCCGTCAACGGTAGCAAGTACTGTCGTGGGTGTTCAAGAATATATCTTTCGCCAAAAGGCGATGTATACCGGTATTAATACATTTTGTACGTGGCCCGCCTCTCTCAATGCATTTCAAGAGCGATGATGCGGCACCCATCCATGTCGAGGTTGATGTAGCAGCGCATTATTGACAGTATGTTGAACGCAGACCGTACCTTCGACCGAGCCCGCCCATCGCCCGATTTGGTTCTCCACCTACGTTCTTCGTTCGAGTGGCCACGAGCGATGCTCCCAGTCATCAAATCGACGACGACCGCGTCACTGTCTCCCATACAAGCATCGTCTAAAGACCATGTACCAACGGTGTGTATGGGATGACTGACAGGATATTCTGCACAAAGGTGGTTGTTACCGCCAGCAAACACACGCGCGACTGCTTCGAGTGCACAAACGCGCGAGGCTTTGTACGCTTGTACCAAGAACTGCAAATGGGATCAAGGGGTGAAGTCCATACGTGAAGTCCATCCGCTGCAGTTTTCCAGTGGCCGCGATGACGTGGCGCAACGTCACGCCGCCTACATGTTGCGTGTATCCAGACAAAGACAGCTGTTCACATCGAATAACACGCAATGTCAAAGATTCGCACAACTTGTACGAGTAGCTCATGACGCCATGCATGACCTTGCGCCTCTGTTGAATCTTCAAGGATATCGGAAGAAGAAGAACACCGCGAGCGAGAACAAGCACTTGAACACAAGACCTTTGGCGCCCGAGAAGCATGGCCCACGAGTTTCGCATTCCGCTGCACATGACGGCCGACGAGTATAAGATTGCCGAGCTCTTTGTCGTCGCCCGCGTCGCCGAGACAAGCACACAGCGCGTGCGAATTCTCAAGAACGAGCCATTTGACAATACAATTGGGCAGCTCGGCGACGTCTCGGCGATTTCCAACTGTGCGATTCCACGCGCGAAAGGCCAGTACACGCTCAAGCACTACTTTGTGTCGGACGACCTCCCCTTCTTCCTCCGGCCACTGTCTGTGCCCTTCCAAAACATACATGCACGAGGGCTCACGCATGTACAACTAACTAGGTTTCCGAAGGAAGGGTTTCTCTTGATCGAAGAAGCCTGGAATGCGTTCCCGCGCTCGTTCACGGCCATGACAAGCAACGTCTTTCGGAAAGAAAAGTTTTTCATCTCGTGCGAGTCGGTGTACGTTGATGGACACATGGTCGCCGGTACATTTTCAATTGCGTCTCATGGCATGTACTACAAGTCCCTCTGTAGACAACGCGTTCCTGTTGCCACCGGTCGAGCTCGCTGCACGCACCGTCGAAGTGTAGTCAACTCTAGTCTTGGGAATCGCTGATCAAGCATAGATTGCACATCGAGGCCAGAGACACCGCGGTCGACGACATGGATCCATCGACGTATGTATGCGGCAAGACGGGCCGGGGTCCACTCGCAGCTGGCTGGGTGACGTCGGCGACACCCATCATGACGTGCTACAAGCTTCTTCGCGTCAAGTTCGACTACCTTGGCCTCGAGAAGAAAATGCAGCAGTTCATTGCCGAACGACACCGCGGCATCTTCATGACGTCGGCGCGTCAGGTACACGATCGGCATCAAGAAACAATGATTTGTTCAAAGTATTGGTGTTGTGTAGGCGCAATGTACGTCACACGAGTGGCATGGTCTCACACTCGACGACATTCGGACCCTGGAAGCCAAACACGCCGTTGCGAGCTAAACGAGACACTTGCCAGGACGTCAATGGATGCTTTGTCTTTATAACCCTAACCCCTTTATAACCCTGATCCTCGTCCACCTACCACAGCAGAACGCATGCGTGCTCCATTGATGTCGTCCTAAACGTCTTCTTCTACCTACCACTGCTGTGTGCACCTCCACCTTGCCCCAGTGATCGACCACTGACAGCGATACGCGTCTCCGAAACGAGGTCAATTATACGAAATTTCAGTGCGGGTACAGTTGCTTGGTTGTCATTCGATTTATGGCGAAAGGAGCTACGCGGCAATGTCATAGTAGTCGACGTGCGAGCCCGAGACAAATGTCGGCCCAAAGACGTGCTCGACACAGAGCGTCGCGGACGCAAGCGTGTCAACGTACGTGCCCTACCAACATGATCTACGACGCGAGAACTGCAAGAAATTCGTACCGTCGTTTTGAGCTGCTGGAACATGCCCTTGAGCGTCGCATCCGTGCGGTCCGACTCGCGCAGCTACAAAAGACAACTTGTCCACTTATTTAGCGCATACAATCCGACGTACCGCGAGCTGCATGTTGGTGTCCATTGGGCCTGGCGCGTAGTTGAGTGTCTTGACGAATCCGCCTTGCTCGACCGCAATGACACGGTGGTGCATGTCCCGCGCCGCTGTAAAATACACTGTTTCGCACCAACCGGTGGCAAGCAACCTCGTACCTTTGATGACGCAGTATGTGTTGCACGTCGCAAAGGGCTCGATCGCATTGAGCGAGCTCACGTTGATGAGCACGTGCGGCGTCGCTAGTCCATCCTTTTATAGCTGCTCAGAGCACGAGACAACGGTACCGGGCGCGGGCGATGACGCATCGCGGGTGCCAAAGACATCAAGAAAGCTAGTACTCCCATAAGAGTCTCCTCATAGCATCAAGACGCTTGGTACCGCTTGTTGAACCACATCACCGACGAGACGTTGAGCTCCATGTGGTCTTGGAGAAACGCCACGGACGAGAGGTCCTGCGCGAGACCGATCTCGCCGAGCGTGCCCGCGTTGTGGACCAGCACCACTTGCGATGGGCCCTGGGCGTGCACGGCCGCCAAGAAGGCGTCAATCTTGCCGACATAGTCGTCGCGGGCGCCCATGTCAACCACGGTCGTCGTCACATGCACTGTCGTCGCCTGTAGAAGATGAAATGTCATCTTGCCGACATGCATAGCGAGCGAACCGCATCGTTGTCCTTGGTGGCGTCCTGTACGAGGCGGGCAGTCTCGGCGAGGCCCGACGCATCGCGCGCCCACAAGTGCTAGCGATACGTAGCCTCGGTGCAGGCGAGAGGCAGAGACGTACCAGCTGCACCGTCTTGTCGGCGAGGAGATGACGCTTCCGCGCAAAGGCGAGTGCGAGCGACCGGCCAAAGCCGCGGGACGCGCCAGTGATGAGCACGACCTTCATGGGGAATCACGATCGTCTGGCATGTCCGGATAGATCCGGATATGTAGCCATATCCGGATCTACATCTAAATGCACCCAACCTTGCACGGCGTTGACGCAGCAACAGGCTGCCATCGACCTCGACCTTGCATGCTTGTAGGTATAAAAAGGCTGCCTTAAATGGAGCTACCGAGTCCTCGATAGTACAATTCGGTTGTGGCACTCTAGTCGAGTTGGCGTTCGCACAGCTACTACGGTCTTTCCCTCGGTATCTGCAACGAAAAAATCCCCTAAAAATGGTATCAGCGGCCAAGTTGAAGTCAAGCGCTGTCTCGCAGCGTATCATCGTTTGCCACGTCCTCGGAAACCTCGATGACGCGCTTCCTGGTGACTGCTCGCTATTGTCAAGACGTCAGCTAAACTGCATAACAATTCGGTCCGATCTCTTGTCCACAAGGACCTTACCCGTATTGCATGCTTGCTTCCTCAAGTGGCAAGCCAGCAAGTGCCATCTGTCACCTTGGCGTCAGCGCACTTAATTGAGCTAGGACAGGTTTGTATCGTACTTGAAAAATCGACGAATTTTCGTCTTAAGTACGGTCGCCACGCACCAAATAGAATGTCATTTTAATCTTATCCTAACGTTTGTATGCAGAGGCATGAAATGAAATATAGCGGCCATCTCCAACCTCGCTGACGCTTCGACATTTTGCCATCGTCGTCGTCGCCGCCAAGTAGCAGTAGCAGTAGCAGCATGCTCGTCCATGAATTCCATATCCCGCTGCACATGACAGTCGACGAGTTCCAAGTCGCGCAGCTCTACATGGTGGTCGACGCCAGCGAGAAGAACACCAAGGGCGGCGAAGGCGTCGAGATCCTCAAGAACGAGCCGTACGACAACACGAACGGCCAGCTCGGCGACGTCTCGGCGATCTCCAACTGCAAGATCCCGCGCAACCGCGGCCAGTACACGCTTAAGCACTACTACGTCAAGAGCGAGATCCCGGGCTACATCAGCGCGCTGTAGGCCATGCTAGCAACAGGCCATGAGGCTCATCTCGGACGCGTAGGTGTCCCGAAGACAGCATGACGCTCATTGAAGAAGCGTGGAACGCATACCCGCACTGTCTGACCGTCATCACCAACGGCTACTTGGCGAAGAAGAAGTTTTCCATCTCGATCGAGTCGTTGCACGTGCCTGGCACGACCGTCGCAGGTACGATTCCTCGACCTCCAGCCGCGCAGCCTCATCATCGGCGTAGCCAACGCACTCAACTTGACCAAGGACGAGCTCAAGAACCGTGAAGTCGAGCTGTACGACCTTGATACGTGGTAATGGCATGCTCATGCGCAGTAGGATCCGCATTGAGTCGGACATGCCCAACCAAAACTCGGACGACGACTACGACCCGTCGACAGTACCGTATCGCTTCGCTTCGCCATCCTTGCTCACAGGATCTGTAGTATGTCTGCCCCAAGACTGGACGTGGCCCGCTCGAGCGCGGCTGGGAAACCAAGGTCGACCCCGTCATGACGTGTATCAAGGTTGTCCGCGTCAACTTTGACTACTGGGGCTTCCAAGGCAAGGCCGAAAAGTTTATTCGCGACCGCCAGCGCCGTCTCTTCCACGCCTCGCTGCGCCAGGTATTACCCCAATGCCTCTTCCTCCGACCTTCTAACGTCAGCGACTGTAGGCCCAGTGTCTCTCGGGCAAGTGGTTTGGCCTGACCATGGAAGACATTCGTGCCCTTGAAGCCAACATCCAGCAAAAGCTCATTGCGCAGCGCACGGCGCAGTAGATGCTAGAGTTAGTTTACGTCGATATACTTTTTGAAGATATACGCTAATAGAGTCTATCTAGTCGTCGACAAGTTGTGCCATTTACATATTCACTGATGTCCGAGAAGTACGCATTGTCCAAAACCCCTGACAATCAATATCCGATATACATTCTTAGAGGTGGCAGAAAAAGATTTTTCGCTTTGGTCAGCATCCTCATCAGCATCATGCGCTTCTCGTGGACCAAGTTCATGCGCTACGTGGGGCCAGGCTGGCTCGTGAGCGTGGCGTACATTGGCCCGTCGAGCCTCGAGGCGCGGCTGCAGGCCGGCGCGTACACCAACTTTGACGTGCTCGGTGTGCTCATGCTGAGCTTTGGCGTCGGCTTCTTCTTCCAAGTGCTCGCCGCCCGCCTCGGCACGGTCACGGGGCGTAGCCTCTCGGAGCATTGCAGCGCCGAGTACCCGCGACCGGTCGCGCTCGTGCTCTGGCTCGTGGCCGAGGCCGCGATCATTGGCTGCGATGTGCATGAGATCCTCGGGTACATGGATCCTCCGCATCCTCTCTCTGCATCATCCATCCATCATGTAGGTCGGCGCTCGCGTTGCATGTGCTTACGGGTATCCCTCTCTGGAGCGGCTGCCTCGTCATCGGCTGCGCGACGTTTGCCTTCCTCTCGCTGCACGTGCTCGGCGTCCGCTACGTCGAGGCGTTCTTCACCGGTGCGCCTTCTCGCTCCTCCTGTAGTACTACTCGTATCTGGTTAGTGCTGCTTTTGGCCATGGGGCTCTGCTTTGTGGTGGACTTTGGTCTGGTCAAAGTCGACTGGGCCGACGCCATTGGCAGCGTCGTGCCCCTCATCACGGACGTCAACGCGCGTGCGGCGATGAACACGCTCGGCCCGGCCCTTGTGCCCCACAACCTCTTTCTGCACTCGGCGCTCGTCGCGCTCCGCCCGCTCAACCGCCGAGATCGCTCCGCCGTGCGCGCGGCGACGCTCTACGCGTCCGTCGAAGTCGGCGTCGCGCTCTGCACCATCTTCGTCGTCAACGTCGCCGTCCTCGGCCTCTTTGCCGACGCCTTCTACGCGGCCCCGTGCTCGGTCTTGCCGGTACAGAATCGTACATGGAGCCACCGACGCACGCGTGTATTGCATGCTAGGATCAATCGGCTTGTCTCCCGCCTGCGACGGCCCTCTACTCGGGGTCGCCCGTATACAACTACTACTCGCTCGCGCCGTGCCTCGTGCTCAACCACACCGTGAGCGACGACTGTCCACGCTGCGCCATGGGCCACACCCAAGTACGACGTTCTCTCCGTGAGCAAATAGAGTCGAAAGGTGTAGATGTACGGCTACTGCCAGCCGTTGGAGCTGGTGGATGCCGGCAGCGCACTGCGCGACACGCTGGGCGCCCCGGCGGCCCACGCTTGGGCGATCGCTCTCCTCGCAGCCGGGCAAGCGAGCACGATGACGGCGACGTACGCTGGCCAGTTTGTCATGGAGGGTTTTGTCCCGCTGCGCTTGCCAGCGTGGCAGCGCATCGCCATCACGCGCGTGCTCGCGCTACTTCCTGCGGTTCGAACGCATATATCTCATCGACAATAATGATGCGAGGACGAGAAGGATGATATGTCGTAGGTGATGCTCGCCGTGTCCGCACTGGACAACAAGGGCGCGATCCATCCCACGTCGTTGCACGTCGTCCAGAGCCTCGCCTTGCCGCTGGCGCTCGTACCGCTTGTGACGCTTACAAGCTCCCGCAGCGTCATGGGCAAAGGCTTCATCAACGGTGCGCGCACGCGCATGGCCGCGATCGTGCTCGCAGGCGTGCTCTGCATCCTCAACTTGTACGACGTTGGGTCTGCGATCGCCGCCGTCGTCTGGACGTCGGCGAGGTACATGTGATACCGACCACGGAGGCGCGGTCCACGAGCATTGTGTGCGTAGATCGTATGCGACAACGGGCGCGATGGTTGTGTATGTGATGGTGCTGCTGTACATTACCCTGCTTGCGCCGCTGTGCGCGTGGCGCGCGTCGATCGTCGAGGCCCCCGAGGCGATTCTCGAGTCGCTTCTCGATACGAACGAGGACGACGATGCGGCGTGAGACGAGCGCGTTGCTGGTTTGAACGTGGTACAAATGCATCATATTACAAGGTGCCTTGGGTCAAGTACTGGACGAGCAGCCGCTCGAGGTTGTCGACCTTGGGCGTCGACGGTCGATCGAGCGCATACCCGAGAAAGCAGCGGGCAAAGACGGGTGCTACATGAGGATACTTGTATGAGCCATCACGTCTTGTAGTGGAAACGGTACCGAGCTTGGAGGCGTGGAGTTGGTTGTCGCTTCCAAACTTGAGGAGCTCCCGCAAGAAGGAGAGCAGGTAGATGAACGTGTTGTAATGGATCGGTGTCAGCGCGTCCACAATGGACCGCGGGCTCTCGAGGTTGAGCACTTGCTCGGGCAGGACGCTCTCCCGGAGAGTTTGGAGCCAATGGAGCAAGACGCCGGCCATGGCCTGCGGCCTAGACACCACTCAGCGTCGCTCCATGTAGAGTGACGCACCGATGCGGGTGGAAAGCGGTGCCAGCGTCGAGGGCGTCTCGAATGCTCGCAGCGTCTGCATCCTTGAGGGGCGCGTCCAGAAACAAATTGGGCGTGCGCAGGCCGTGTGTAAAGAGGTCGTCGACCATGCGCCAGAGCTCCTTTGGGATCTTTTGGACGCTCGTCACGTCGCGCTTGATCGCCAGCTGCTTGCGCACGGGCTCGAGGCGCACGACAAGCTGCTCCAAGGACGCGCCAAAGCACGTGCTATGCATGCATTGCATGAGACGTCATTTCAAGCGCAAGCAGAAACGAACGGCAAGAACGAGCCTGAGACGACGAGAAAGTGGTCGGCCCCGTTGGCGACGCGCAAAATGAGCGTATCGTCGAGCGTGTCTTGGCCGCTCGAGAGCAAATGCACCGTGTGGTGAGTCACAAGCACTGTGAACTGCAGCTGGACGCGCTCCTTGGGCGCGAGGACGCCGTACGCGGGCGAGACGCTCAGCCAGCTCTACCACACCTTCGCTTTCGGATGCTTCCTTTGGACGACACGGTGATACCTTGGAGATGGCGGGCTCGTGGAGCTTGGGCGTGAATTTAAAGTGCGCGGGCACGACGCCGACGTTTTCAAGCGTAAACGCTTTCGTCTGCGGCACGAGGTATGTCACATGCTCGAAATCCATGAGCCCGCTGTCGGAAATCAGAATCTATGGGAATGTCGTCCTCAAATAAGTCCATCATAGAGAGGGATGATGGGACCATCTTCTTACCTTGGGTTTGTTGTCCGACTCCCACTTGTCAAAGTCACGACTCACTTCGCGCTGAACGACCTCCTTCTTGGCCTCGACTTCGTGTTGAATCTGATATGCACGCACTGCATAGCATCCGATTGCAGTCGTCGGCCAAGCACCTACCTTGGCTTGGAACGTGGCGGCGACGGGCTTGTGGTCGGACACGTCGAGCTCCATCACGGTGCCGTAGTACAACTGTCGCACGGCTGACGGGTCCTTGGCCTTCCAGAGAACGCGGTCGCACCTTCAGGGCAGTGATGATGCACCCATTCAAGACGCTTTGGGGATCGTACCACGCGGGAGCCCGCACTTTCTTGTCAGGTCGACGGTCGTAAAACGACGTGCCGGCTTGAAACTTGTACGTGGGCGGAAACTTGATCGCGCCTTCTTGGAACCCCTGGAAGACGTTGCCCTTGTCCATCTCGATCAAGAGCTAACGTAGCGCTAGCAATACTATAGTAGAAGGGCACGGACGCACCTGTTCGCGGGCGAGGAGGTAGTCCAGATTCCGCTTCTCGACGTGCAAAAAGCAGTCTTCGATCGTCAAGCTGCTGTCCTCAACGAGGCGGTAGTTCAAATCGCCGATCCAAAAGATAAAGTCGTGGTTGGGGATGCCTAGCCCCATGCAATGACCCGCCGTCGGCGACGGCAAGAGCTCCTGGACCCTACGTGCTGGGATGAGACGCCTCCAAGGGCTTGATGCGAGCGCGAGTACCCCTCGTCGGCGTCGCGAAACTCAATCTTGGACAAAATGTTGGCAAAGTCCGCGTTGCGGCCCGAGACGTTGTGCGTGTGGGCCGCGAGGTGCGAGCAGACAAAACAGAGCGTGCTGTCGTAGAGTCGAAGGCGCACGGCGACGCCGCCCTTGTTGCCCTAAACGCGCCATAAGAGGCGCATAGCCGGAGGTGTAGTACCATGACGCCCATGATGCCAACGCCGGCCGTCGCGCCCATGACATCTGAGACAAACGGCGCGTGCTCGCGCTTGACAAAGACGATGAGGAGGATGCCCACGAGGTGCTTGTGCAGCACGACGTCGTAAGCGTCGTTGGACATGTGACCGTTGAGCGCAGCCGAAAGCGACTCTTCCCACTGCTGGCTGCGCGTCGCCGTCATGTTGTTGACGACCACGTTGACCGCGTTGAGATCGACGATTTCCTGGAACCCGACAGCGACGACGTCCGGGAGGCTGCGCGTCGGCTGAAGCCACGGCAAGAGCTTCATGGCCTCGGCGACCGAGACGGGCTTCTTGGCGTTGACGTTGAAGGTGCCCGCCCAGAGCGAGATCTCCTTCTCCTCCATGTACTCGGAGGCCCGCTGCCGCATGCGCTGGTGGATCCAGTCGTCGCGGAGCATGGAGAGGACCGTCGGGATGTAGCAGCGCCCGTTCGTCTGCTGCGTCATGTCGCTGCTCCCGCTGCCCGAGGACCGACCCGAGAAGCTCATCTTCGTCAAAGCAGTCACCGACTGCTTGAAAACCGTTTTGGATGTATTCCGGATACGGCCATCGTATCCGGAATCAAAAGATATCGCGGAGCGCATATGAGCCAAGCAGGCGTCTCCACTTGAGTCCGAGTAGTGGAAATTGTCTTCTGAGAACATTCATTTTACGTCAAGTGGTTGCAGTCGGGATGCGCGTGGTAGCTGATCGACTCTGGCACGCTGGCCAGGGATCCACTGATCGTGAGATGGCCGCCAACGAAGCTCGGAGGCAGATGCATCCTGCTGGTATGCCAGGATTTTAGCGTGGGCATACTATTGACCTTGGCTGGATCGCTACGAGACTCGTTGTGGCTCCAGGACTGTAAACGTTGAGTTTCGTAATAGTACCGGCAAGTGCACGCATTCTGCTGAGTGTGCTCCAGTCAGCGGAGCTCAACTTCAGCTCAGCTGGCTACGACGTGAGCTGCTCATTTTGTCGTATCCTTGTAGCCAGCGTCTCGAACAGTAGGATGGACAAGAGGGTTTGAGCTGGACACACACGTAAGCCGCTTCTCTATCGCTTCGTAAAGCCGTGTCTACTTTTGTGTACCGACTGGCTTCAACCGAGCACGATGACCTTTTCGCAGCTGAGCGACTGCATTGAAGCACAGGCAATGACGCGCAAAGCCAACACGAAGGCAGCGTTCGGGATCCCTCTCAAACAGTGTATGGGCCGTTCCAATCCAGTGTTTTCGATCCGCCAATCCAGGCACACGGCGTAAGTGGGCAACTGTTTCGCATATTTTGATATATAAATTCAAAATATAATATATATGAATAGTAAAAGAAAGATGAAAACATGCAATTTAAGCGCGATAAAAAGTGCATTTTGGCGGGGCCAATGAATTGCAAGCAGCAAAATGGCAGCCGTGCCAACAACGCCCGACGTCCTCGGCGACGTGTACGAGCCGGCCGAAGACACATATCTCTTCCTCGATGCGATCCAAGACGAGACGCCCTTCCTAGCCGACCTTAGTCCATCGCTCGTGCTGGAGCTTGGCCCGGGCTCGGGCGTGGTTGGTGTCTACACCATGAAGCAACTCGCGTCGATCGATCAGCCCGCGCTGCTCTTGGCGGTCGACATCAACGACGAAGCGACGGCGTGCACAAAAGCAACCGCGCGACTCAATGCCATCCACAACATTGAGATTGTGCGCATGGATCTGCTCACACAACTGCAGCTGCGCCACCAAGTCGACGTGCTCCTCTTCAACCCGCCGTATGTCCCGACGCCGTCCGAAGAAGTTGGCTCCACGTACTGCATGATTCGCTTCGAATAGCTTACATACAAGTGAAGGATAGGGGCATTGAGGCAGCGTGGGCCGGCGGCTTGCACGGGCGCGAGGTCATTGACCGGCTCCTGCCCCTCGTTCAGGTACACTGGCATTCTCGCGACTCTTTTCGTGACAAACCATCTTTGGTAGCACCTCTTGTCGCCGATGGGCGTCTTTTATATGGTCATTGTGGCCGAGAACCGACCCAAAGACATTGCGCGGATCATGGCTGCCAGCGGCTTTTCCACGACAGTACCGCTTTCAATCTTATGAAGGCAACACCATGGAGATTGTAGGTCGTGCGGTCGCGCCAAGCGTTCAACGAACGCCTCTCCATCCTTAAATTTGCGCGGCAGTCGATCCAGGAGGTCGTGGCCGAGGCGTAAGCATTCCTAACGACGTTCTTTGTATTCCACATATCATGGCTGAGAGTCTGCTTTTACTAAGGAGAAAGCATCTTGCGCTCCATCATGGGAGCATCGACGAAGGCCACGGCCATCATCGTAGGTCATGGAGTATCAGCACGCATGACTAACTTTGCATCGACATTTACAAAGTGTGGGTTGGCGGCAGCGACCTTCGATTTCCAGGTCAAGGTTTTTTGTGGCGCAGCGGTCAAGTGCCTCCGTTCATCGTTAACGAGGCAACCTCAGTGGTCGTCGCTTCGATCTCCGCTCGCTTCTGTTGACAAGTCACATTCTCATGTTATAGTCCACTTAACCTAGTACGCCGCGCCAAAAGGCTTGAAGAGATAGACCGACTCGAAACCGGGGTAGTGCGCGGCCGACGGCGCGTGGTTGTACAGGATATTCTCAAACTCAATCTCAAATGACGGGAACGCATGCGCGTTCTTCTTGGCCTCGCCAATGAAAAAGTGGGCAAACGCTTGGGCGGCGAGGAGGGACGGGTACGAGTGGTCGATGTCGCCATAAAACACCCCGGACGGAAGCCGGCCAAACTCATATGGGTTCTTCTCCGGGTGGAATTGGAGACCGTAGATCGGAAACTCAACTGCTTCAATGGCACTCACGTACGACACGCCTTGGCGATCGAGCGACGTGGCGAGCGCCTAGCATTGAGATATAGCCCATCATCGACTACACCTCATGGTACCTTGAAGAAGGCTGTGAGACTTGGTGTCGCATCAAAGTGCGCTTTAGTGATGCCATAGTGGTGAAAGTTGGCGGTAAGCGGCGCTGTCGTGAGCGCATCGAACGAGCGGCTGTAGCTGAAGAGCCGGCTCGACGCTGCGCTCGGGGTGTACGATATGGTCGAGCTCATGTTTTGGGCGTCCACCTTGTCGAGGATGCCATTGTCTTGGGCCGTCAATTGCACGAGCCACTCGAACCCGAGGCACGTGCCCCACACTGGAAAGTACGTGCCGTTCTGGTTGAGCGCAATCGCCGACTCGAGTAGAAACTGCGCTTGCGCGTTTGGCAGCGGGTCACCACCGGGGAAGAGGAGGCCGTTGACGCCCGATAAAAGCCGCGTCAGCTCCGACTCGGGGGCCGTGAACGGAATGCGCACAGCGCGCCCACCTGCGCTCTCGATCCACTTGATGTATGACGCCGCAATGTACTCGTACGGGCCGCCATCGCTCGGGTTCGTCGTCGGGTGCGAGAAGACACCAATGATCGGGTTGGGTGTCAAGACGACGGTATTTCGTGCCGCCTGCGCGAGCTCGATGGGTGCGACTGGCGTGGTTGTTGTGCTGGTCACGGCAAGGAGACAGCCAAGTGCGAGGCTCAGGGCGAGCACGAGCCGTCGCGGGCGCGACGACGCCGGCTTGGCCTTGGGCAGGATCGGAACGGTGGCGGCGTCGACCATTTTCTGAGACCTCCAAACTCAAAATGAAGAAGATTGTGCGATCTTATTTCAAAGGCCAAGCGGCGGCGTTGGTTCCAAGGGGTCTTTTGAGAGGCTACCCGCATGCCAATCAAAACGTGGAACGCTGTGTGATCAGCGGGTGCGTTCTTGAGCTTCAAGCTCGGACTAAAACTCGGACAAAAAGAGACATAGTTGACAAAAGATGGTCATAAGTTGGTGTGTGAATGCTTCAAGAAGACCCGATTTTGACGCACGATGGCACCGGGAGCGGTACCGTAGCAACTGCGCCTTCGTTCGCGCATATCGCAAGGACGAAGGATGTACGTTGTGGGGATAAGACCTCGCGAAGACGCTTGTGAAGCTTTCGCTACTGACAGGCGGGGTCGTACTCATTTTATCGCAGTGTATGGTGTGGTCCGTGCACGGGCTCGGTGTCTGTTGGCATGGGCAACTCGTGAGGCGCCCCTTGGAGCAACAGAGCCTAGAAACTGTACAGCTGTATCGGACCTCGTGCTGGCACACACATCGAGAAGACCAGAGCCCAGACCAGAGCCGGCCCTATACAGCGATGCAGCTACGCGCTGCAATCGTCCAGCAATGGCTCCTCCAGAACAAGATGTACCATACAGACCGAACTTTTCTGTTTGGGCACCTGCCTCGGGCTCGAGTGGCGCGTACAGCTCACGGCCCACGGCGCACCGCTCCTGAACACGATTGCTGCAACAACATCCGCTCGCTTGACACGTCCACACTGGCCGCAGCCTCGAGCCATCGCGTCGTTCCAACCACTTATCTCTAAAGCCGCGCGCAATGCGACCAACGGAAGCGGGGCTATATGCACATCAAAAGACACCGACCTCATTGCCTTCTTATGACGTCTTCTTCTCGCCCTTCTTCTTCCGAGGGCAGCACCGTAGAAGACGGCCCTGTCGCCAATACCACTCTCATGCACGCGGTCGCAGCGCTCTGTGCTGGCAGCGCGCCATTGCTTCAAGGCTGTCCATGATGGGCGCCCTCTCCGCCACGAGTCACTAAAGCTGTCACTGACCGGACGCAGAGACGTGTTGTTGCGATGGGTACCTTTGGGCGCGGTTGACGCAGTCGCAAAGTGGCCGTCGTAATCATTCCTATCTTGATGTTTGTATGTATATACTAAAATCCATAGCGACGATATCCAAGAGAAGAGCCAATCACAGCGCGGCGAGCTGCGTTGCGGCAATCTCACAACCAAAACGGACCTTTGTCGGTCGCTGGCAGCATGATGGCTCTAGCCGCCGAGGACGTGACGTGCGCCGTGTGCCTCGAGCCGTTCGCGTCGCCCGTCTCGCTCTACTGCGGCCACAGCTTTGACCGGTAGGCGGCGTCAGCGGCGCCTTGCGTCTCATTGTAGTGTGTAGCGAATGCTTGCTCGAGCTCGTGGGCAGCCCCTGCCCCATCTGTCGCCAGTCGCTGGTCCTCGCCAACGTTGCGCTCCAGCCTAAGAACGCACTGATCCGGCAGGCCGTGCGAGCCTTCTTCGCTGCGAATACAATGGGTCGCGTGCTCGTCCAGGCGCGCGAAGACGACCATGAAGAACGCCGCGTCGCGCGTCTCGCAGCGGCGAAACCGGTCGTTCGCAGCACGAGCAGCGGTCGCCGGTCGCCGACGCCGGACGTCAGCGTGAGCTGGGGCAGCGTCGTCTTTTTCCAAGCGCTTTCCTTTCCGTGGGACGCTGTCTTTGGGCCCGCGGGTCTCCAAGACGAAGACGAGACGCCCGAGTCGTGCGCGCTGAGCTGGTCGATTGTATTTATGTTTGTGTGCTGCTTTCTTCTATCCCAGGTATTACGAGTTGGCTATTTCCAGCAAAGTCGCAGCAGATCATATCTCGTTCTGTGTAGATGGTGACGTACATGCTTGATATTTAAGAGAAGAGAAAAGTATCAATTCCACAACGCAGACTTGTCTCCTGTTGCTCGAAACGATATGTGGAGAGTCGCACAGCGCAGCAAACGCGAGTGCTCTGGCGCCAACTTTGCTGACGCCCACTAAGCAACTTGATTGCGCGGCGTGGCTAGCGCTGGCTGAAAGGTGCTACCCAAGGAAACCCATTGGTCGTGTACGATCCCCTAGGTGCTAAATGACGAGAAAGCAAGTTGTCAATACACTGCAGAAACCATACAAGAGCACGTGAAAGGGTTCCAACGCTCGATTTTATTCTCATTTCCTGTACTAGTACGTTTTTGATGCGAAACTCGGCGCGACGGTGGGTCTTTATATGTCCAACATTGCCTCTTCGCACCCGCCTCTACGCTGACCGTTCGTACGAGCTGACGCCATGGCGCTGCCAGCGTGCGTTTGCCAGCTCGATTGCGTTCAGAGCAACCGCCAAGCAGGATTGACGTGGACCGCGCGGCCGCTTCCGTCCACTTGAAGCAGCATCTTTTACGGTCACCGGGACATCAACAACGCTGCCCATCCCGTGAGTGACACATGCACCGCTTCCACTGCGCCAAGGAGGGCACAGGAGGTGAATAGATGCGGTCGATCGACGCTACCGCACTACCGAGCTATCGCAAAGATCGCAGTGCTCGTTTTCCAGCAGCGTCACCAAGCAGTTCAGGAGAGGGGCTGTTCGCTCGTCTCGTACGTCAGGTCGAGTGTTCGAACACCAGGAAGCGCAGTTCTTGGTCGGCTATGTCCGTACGGTACACTGTAGCTGTCGGCGACCATTTCGCACCCAGCGCTTCGCACCATGCTTAGAAATGGGCTTGCATTGCCCACTCGATGCCCACGACGACTACAAAGCCCCAGACCCAACAACAGGTGAGGGGTAAGGATGGCGAAGTGAGCCCACCAATGTGTTTCCATACCGCTAATAGCCACAAGCGCTGTCGTCACACGAGAGTCCGCGCCCGCCCATGTCTGCCCAACGCACACCCAAACGCGCTGCGAGATACGGTCCATCGCCATACCTTCGGGCCTCAAACACGCGCCAAAGTAGCCACGTTGGTTGTCCGTCTCTTGTGCAATAGATGCGTCAGAACGTGCTTGGTGCTATCTGTGATCAACGCGTTGTCGTTGCTGCTTTCCATCCGAAATGACCATCCATAGCTGGTTCGTCGCCTTCTTCGATTTTTGGCTTTTTATCGCGCGCGCTGGCCGGACAGCAAGTAGCCAGACAGTCGCTGGCGCGTGCGCTTGCCGTGTTGACACGCCTTGTGTGTGTTTGCATCGTGGACCAGGCTTCCGCGGCTGCGCAGTCCATCCTCGAGGTAGTGGACGTCTCCGTCGTACGATTTTCAACGTGGTACGAACTCGCAGATAGCTACATTTTTACACTGCCGCGACACGGAGGGCCCCACAAACCAAGGTGAGATCGCATGGTTTCTTGCAATTTGGGTTACATCGCCACTTGGACGATACCTCGGTATGCATCGCGATTCGACGATATCGTGGGTCGCGGAATTGCGGACACGACCGTTTGTTTGCATTGAGGCCAGCACCGCAGCGCCTGTATGCGCCGATGGACACTGGACAGGCGCCGACCATATTTCAAGCGCAGGGGGATCAAGGTGGGATCCTTGCCGTTAGCCTAGTGCCACGGGCTTCAAGCAACGGCTTACCACATGTTGCACAAATGGGTGGTCAATCTCCGCCCGCAGTTGGATCTTGGCATCTACGTTCTGGATGACCTGTCCACTCTCTCCTTCCCAACGTAGATACCAAGATGGCCATCACGTTTACTCGCGAACGATAGATCAAGTCACTCGACTGGACTGCGCACCACCCTCGCTACTCACACCCAACTGACAAGCAAGACTCATTTCACAATACTCTCGCATCATGCTCAGCTCGTCGGGCGTGGTGCTCTTCTCCGCCGTCGACTTGGCCCAAGCCCAAGCGGCGCGCTCGATGCGGCGAGGCGCTTCGCTCACGGACACCGCCTCCTGTCGTCGTCCAGTTGCGACGAGCCTCGCCCGCACCGACTACACCTCCGACTCGCGTACCGAGTATGAGCTCGTGCAAGACGCCGCTTCAATTCCGCCCATGCTTCAAGCCGAGCCGTCGCCGCCGCCCTGCCCCCGCACCATCAACTTTCGTATTCAAGAGTCGGACGCGACCAAGCTCGTCGTGAGCGGCCGGGCAATCCTGCTCGGCGCAATCCTCGGTGTCGGCCTCGGCTTTCTCATTTCGCGCGTGCCATTGCTCAAGACACACGTCTCGATCTGGGTCGCACTACCCGGGGATCTATTTGTGCGCGCGCTGCGCTGCCTCGTCGTGCCCATGGTGTTTACAGGTATCACCGTCGCGATTGCCGATGCCGTCAACAAGGGCAAGGCGTCCGTGCTCGGGCTGCGGACACTCGGCTTGTTTGGTCTCTCGAGCGGTCTCTCGGCGGCGCTCGGCCTCGGCGTCGCGCTTCTCTTCCAGCCGCTCTTTGTCCGCGTCGCGCCGTCGGCATCAGCGCCCACGTCGCCTGCCCTCGCGTTCAAGTGCCACAACGGTCTGTACCTCGCGATGGCGGGCAATGGGTCCGTGGGCTGCACGTCGTCGTCGCCATCCGTGTTTGAAATCGCCGACGTCAACCATGTCATGTTGTCCCGTGGCGTGCTCAACTCGAACGATGTGACGAGCATGACGACGCAGCTGCTGCGGATGTTCGAGCTCCTCGTGACAGACAATATCTTCCGCGCCTTTGCCGACGGCACACTGCTGAGCGTCATCATGTTTGCATTGCCGCTCGGCGTCGTGGTCGTGCGCAGCCACCACGATCGATCGCGGGGGGGCGTCCCACCCGCCAACCCCCTCTTGCACCTCGTTCGCCAAACGAGAAATGCATTCTTGGTCTTGGTGCACGCGCTGCTTCGGCTCACGCCGGTGGCGATTGTGTTTTTGATTGGCGGTGCGATTGCGAGCCTCGACGCCAACACGGCGACGCTCCATCAAGCGCTCTTGGTCCTCGCGGCGTATGCGTCGGGGGTGGCGATCCACGCACTGCTCGTGCTGCCACTCCTCCTCTTTGTCTTGACGTGGACCAACCCGTTTGCGTTCATGAAGCATCTGCTTCCCTCCTACACGTTTGCATTTGGCTGCGCCTCGTCGATGGCGACACTACCGATCGCACTCGCCGACCTCCAAGCGACGCGGACGACGCCCAACTCGCTCGCTTCGCTCGTCATGGCCCTCGGCACGACCATCAATATGAATGCGGCCGGGCTCTACTACCCGCTCATGACGGTCTTCTTGGCCGCGACGCGCTCGAGCGGCCCCGTGGACCTCTCGTCGTCGCAGCTAATCGTGCTCTACTGCATGAGCTTGCTCGGTGCCATGGGCACGGCCCCTATCCCGAACGCAGGCCTTGTCATGCTGCTCACGGTGTGGAAGACCGTTCTGCCGCACGAGTCGGTGCCGCCGTCGTTTGCGCTCGTGGTCGCGATGGACTTTCTCATCGACCGCATCTCGACGGCTCTCAACGTCCACGGCAATGTGATTGTCACGCGCATTCTGGCCGAGTACGTCGACGATGTCGAAGATGTCGAAGACCCAGCTTCAAGTCGCGTCGTCTAACTTTTTGGTGCTATTTATCCCAGACCGTGTACATTACCAAGGTCGTCAATGAGTATCTTTGACACTGCAAATATAAACCAACTGGAGCAACGGGACTTCCGCAACCTGTGTATGACTATCTCAACTCTTTCGCCCACCGACGAGCGGTTGACATCTCTCTCTTGCGCCGTAGCGGACACAACCAGCGGGATGTGACGGCGACTCGACTGGAGCATCGACCATAATACAGCGTCGAATGTGCTTGAGCACGTCGTAGGTGGCTTAAAGTTGTTTCAATGCGAATAGCAGCAGTCGTGCTACAAGGCTAGGACCTCTTGTCGAACGTCATTACCGTCGGACGTCGTACTCGTCATCGATGATCGCTGCCACCGCGTGCAATTACTCGACAAGAGGAAGCCTGCGACGGAGCCTGGGCGAGCTCCCATTGCCGCCCGAGATCGAAGGTGCAACGAGAGAAGAGCCCGAGGGTACGTTGTCTGTATCTCGAGCCTCGTGGACGGCATGTTGTTGTACGTCTGCAAATGCGCACACGAAATGTTAAAGACGTCGATCGAGCCTCGAGCTGTTGTCCAGAGATGTACTCGGTAGAGATCCAAGAGGTACATTTGGGCGTGGAGGGAAAAGCCAGCAAAAGAGTCGTTCTGGGGGTAGGGGAAGAGGATCGAGAGGTACCAGACGCTGCACGCCATTGAAAGCACGAGGTAGGCGACCCCCACCAGACACGGGACGCGCCGCATCGTGGCATCGGTTCCTGCGCGTCGTCAAAAGGGTCGTTACAGGCGACCCACACCGACACCTAACCCTTGACGTTCAGGGGTAGGTGTTTTAAGATATAACGTTTTATGCATGCGTCGTTGGACGAATTCATGGGTCTTCTCCACCTCTAGTTGTAGCACTCGTGGCGAGTGTATTGCATAATGCGATTGTCGTCTGTATAGCGGCCCGCGAGAGAGATGATTATTACACCGACTCTTGCACGCCGCTCGCCTCAGGTAGCGATGCGTCGGCCTTGTGCTCGGCGTCGTACTCGCCCGCAAACGCGTCCTATGTGCTCTTGTTAGACCGCCCACAAGATGAGCAGGCGCACCAGCGTTGTGGCAATCACGAGGTTTAAAAGCACCATGACGCTCGCGACGTAGTAGGCGACGAAGTACCAGCGCGCGTACTTGGATGTGACGCACACAAAGCCATCGGCGAGCGACGACCAGTTGTTGACGACGAGCAACTCAAAGAGCAGCACAACACCGCTCGCCATGTCGTTGAAGTTGTTGGCAAAGTACTTGCTTGTCGTAAACGGACTCGTGGGGCACTGGGCTTGGAGGGCCTGGACCGAGATGCGCCCGCCAAAGAGGTGCATCCCAACGGCCGCAAAAAAGTACATGACAGAGGCCAAGAAGAGCATCAAATGCTTGCACAACGGCAGCAGTCGTAGCCACGTGAGGCACACCACGCGAAAGCTACGGTTTCATGACACTTGATATGTTGATAGGATACGCCAAGGTCGGACTCACCGCTGGACGTTGAGGATGAGGCGGCACAAACGAAGGCAGCGCGCGACCAAGAGGATCTGGACGAGGGCGCGGGATGCCGCATGGGAGGACGAGAGCGCGTAGATGTCGACGGCCGCGATGGCAATGGTAAGGATAGCGTCGAACCGGTGCTTGAGAGACGCCCAGTACGTGGCACGGCCATAGACGAGCAATTTGAGGATCATTTCGACCACGTAGATCATCGAGAAAACGCCTTCGAGGCGTGCCCAGACGCTAAATTCCGTTTCAATTGGCACGGCGGCGGTGCCGTTCAGCACGGGGAAGGACTCGAGGACGATCGCCACCGCGTTGATGACGAGCAGCGTGTCGATGATCGTGTCCAGACGCGCGTCGCACACCATGCGCGCGAGCTTTTGGAACGACGCGCTGTTGTAGAGGCGCGGACAGTAGCGTTGGAGTTCGGGCAAAGGCAAGGTGCGCGTCGCCAGCGCCGCGTGGAAGACACTGCAGAGCCTTGCAAACTCGGGCCAGCTCAGCTGCTCGTCTCGTGCGACATCGAGGGTCGCAAAGAGCACGTGCATCTTGTCTTGTTTGATGTACGGAATGTTCTTGTAATGGTTGAGCGTCTCGAAGAGGCGGAGGCACGTGGCTTTGGGAATCGCCGCTCCGATCGGCGGCGGCCAGTCGTGGGTCGAGAGCTCCGTGCTCGAGTAGGTTGCCCGCCCGTGCACATGGCAGAGCAGTTGGAAGGCGACCTGCAGCTTGGCGGTTTGGACGCGCTGGCGCTTGATCTTGAACGACGCGAGCTGCCGGATGAACGCATTGTATGTCACCGCGAGGACGACGTTGAGAAGGAAGAAGAGCCCAAAGCAGAGGAAAAAACGAAGAAGAGGACGGTGACGCGCTGCGCCGTGTACGCGGGCATGAAGACATCGGGAAAGTTGGCTGTCGTGAGCAAGACAAAGAGGTTCCAGCTCGCTTCGTAGATGTTGACGAGGTACATGGTCCCTACCAGCGATAGAAGCGGTGATTGCGGAATCGAAGCGACAATATCATGGAATAAATGGACCTTCGGTCGTGTTGTGAAAGAGCACGGTCGCGATCCAGCTGCAAAAGAGTACGAACACGAAAATAAGAAGGAGCGCGTGCTGGATCTCGCACAAAACGGCGTAGATCTTGCGCGCCGTGCGGCGAAGACTGCGGTTCTTGGTGGCGGCAATCGCACCGCGCAGATACACTTGCATCGGCCGAAGCGTCGGGAATGCTTCGCTCGCGACAAGTGTCGTCGCCGCCACAAGCAACAAGAGCAGCACCGCCACGCTACATCGATATTTCTAGTAGGCGTCGAGGCGACGGCGAGCACGGACCTGTCACGGCGGGTGGCGAAGAAGCTTTCGCGCAGGTATGAGTACCGCAGACCCGCGTTGGCGAGCAGCACGACGAGGCATGCCGCCTCGAGCAGGACGCTTTGCGCGCGAGGCAGCGTGAAGAGGCCAAAGGTCACGGGCGTCGCATCGTCGTCGGGGTCGCCGCAAGAGGCGCCGCACCACGATGGCACTTCAGCAAACGAGATGCTGACGAGGACGAGCAGCGCGAGGCCGCGCACGTAGTGCAGCTCGGCGTAGAGAGTATACAGGCGGCGCGCAACGGCGCCATTGACGGGATGCGGCCGCGCGATGCCGCTGAAGGCGTCCTCGACAAACCAACTGGCCGTCGCCAGCGTCTCGGCGTCCACGTCCATGGTCGATGATGCGCCGAGGATGTGCATCCGGAAAGTACGGGATATCCGGATTTCGAGGACGAAGTGGCACCCTTGCCGCACGCACGTGCTGCCACGTGGACGCTCATTTCGTCGACGAGGCGGCAACTCGGTGGCTGCAAAAAGGTCGTCTGGACCGCCGAGGTACTTGGAGGCTGTTGCGCCTGCGAAACCATCGGCGCCTTTGTCTGTAGCTGAGGCGGTGCACGAGTCGCGTGTTCAGGTCATGTTGGTAAGGAGGCGCAGCTAAAGTAGTACGATTTAGATCATCGGCAGCCACTTCAACGACAAACGTTCAAAGAATATCAACTCGATACTACTTGAGATTGATTGACCAACCGTATCCATCGTTCATACATCAAACGCAGAACGGCGCTACGCCAGCAAGAGGTCGAGGACGCCACCGTCCTGGGCGAGGTTGTAAAACACACTGCCGACGTCCTGGACAAGCGCCTTGGGGGCTCCAAACGCGACGGCCTCGCCTGCCTCGAGCACGAGCACGCGGTCCGAGTGGACGACCGTGTGCAGACGGTGGGCGATCGTGAGCACCGTCGCGTCCTTGAAGGCGTTTGCGATGACCTCCTGGAGGTGCAAGTCCGTCGCGTGGTCGATCGCGGCTGTCGCTTCGTCGAGGACGACGACACGAGCTTGCGCGAGGAGGGCCCGCGCCAAGCACAGCATTTGCCGCTCGCCGACGCTCCAGTTGGCGCCGGCTTCGTCGTCGAGCGACGCGACGGGCAGTTGCACTTGGCGCAGAGCGTTGTACAAGGCTGCGTCGGTCGCTGCATCAAACGGATCCAAGTACGAGCGCAGCGAACCCTTGAAGAGGACGGGGTTTTGCGGGATGATCGAGATCTGATGGCGCAGCGAATGCAGCGAGAGGGTCGCAATGTCGCGCCCGTCGATGCAAATGGCGCCTGACGCGAGCGGGTAGAGCCGGAAGAGAGCCATGGTCAGACTCGACTTGCCGGCGCCCGTGCGGCCGACAATACCAATCTTCTCGCCGGCCGAAATCTCCAACGAGAGGTTGCGGAGGACCAAGTCCGTGGTTGGTTTGTACCGAAAGCTGACGTTCTTGAACGAAATGTCCCCACGCGCGAGGTGCCAGGTGTCGCTGACAACAAGCGACGTCGACGTTGCGTCGTCTTCGGACGCCAACCCGCAAAACTCGAGCACGCGCTCGGGGGCTACCATGCTGAGCTCGAGGCGCGACCAGCTCTGGACGAGGTCAGCGAGGTACGCATTGGCCACCAGAATGTAGTTGAACGCAAGGCCGACGATCCCCGCCGAGAGGTACGGCCGCAAGTAGACGAGGCTGATGACGACGATCATGACGACGCCCGTGCCCGCAAGCTGCACCATGAGCTCAAACCACTCGTCGACAATGACCTTGGCAAGCCCGACGCGTGCACTCATGTCCACATGATGGGCGTGGCGGTTGACTTGCTTGGCCGAGTACGCGGCGCCAAAGGCGCGGACCGACACGAACCCTACCCCTCGTGCATGAGCATCGTTTGGTTTTGATTGGATGGACGGTACCGTGTTCGATCTCGTCGAGGAAGCTCAGCACAGGCGACGCGGTGATCTTGGCGAGCCGAGCGAGGTCGCGGGATGGCCGCAGGTACATGACGGTGAGCTTGAAGTACAAGACAAAGATCGGAATAAAGCAGAGACCGGCCCATCCCACCTAGCATACCCTATCAGATCGCAGGCTCCCACTGCGTTCTTACGTACCACAAAGATGGACGTGGCCAACGACGCAATCAGAACCGCCGCGACTGCCGAGATAGAGCCAAAGTTGATCGGCAGACGCGTGTCAATGGTGGCGACGTCGTCACCGTACCGGTTGATGATGCGCCCGCTCGGCGTCGCATCAAAAAACCGCATCGGCGCCGCCAAAAGCGACGTCGTCATGGCCTCAAAGAGGTGCTTCGAGGCGCGGAGACCGGCTCTCGCGACCGTGATCGTGCGGAGAAGCACCATGAGCACGCTCGCCAAGCAGAGACTGCCGTAGACGCCGAGGTAGTACGACGCATCGTCCTTCTGCGTGGCAACAATGGTCGACGTCCAATGGCTGAGCCAAAAGTCACTCGCAACCTGGAACGCTTGCCAGAGCAGCTGACAGCTGACGACGACTGCGATCGTCGGGCCGCCGCCGCACGCGGCAAGAAACCGGCGAAAGATGTCGCCGGCGACCTGGCCTTCTTCGCGGTGCTCGTCTTCTTGGGTCTCGGCCTTGTCGTCGTCGTCGATCGCGTCATGAAAGTACGTGGCCCAGCGGTCGTTGGCGGCCACTGCCACTTCGGCCGACGCGTGCTTGAACGCAGCAGGCGGCGCCGAGGGCTTGCGCTGCGCACGAGCAACGATGCCACCGTCGTCCATCTCGATCACTTGGTGCACGTGCGCCGAGTCGATGATGTCGCGGTTGTGCGTCACGAGAACGACCGTCTTGGTCGCGAGAAGTGACAGAATGCACTTGGTCTAGAAGCACAATGTCAGCACATCGTTTCAAGACAGTATCAAGAGAGAGGACGTACAAAGATCTCTTTCTGGACGACCGCGTCGATGGCAGCCAAGGGTGCGTCCAGAAGGAGAATGTCAGCGTCGCTGTAGATCGCGCGAGCGAGACCGAGTCGCGCCTTTTGGCCGCCACTGAGGTTGGCGCCCTTGGAGTTGGCGAGCGTGCCGTCGCCAAACTTCATTTGCTCAAAGTCGGCGACAAGTCCACACGCGTCGACGACAGCTGCGTACCGAGCGGCGTCGAACGGGCGGCCAAAGAGGATGTTGTCGCGGAGACTCATGTGCTGGACCCATGGCTCTTGGGGGCAATAGCCAATGCGACCGTTGACAGCCATGCGCCCCGAGAGAGCATGCATCTCACCGAGGAGTGCCATGCAGAGCGACGACTTGCCACTGCCGACCTTGCCGTGCACAACGACCAAGTCCCCGCGGCAAATGCTCAAATGGAGTTTAGTGAGATGGACGGTAGTATTGTCCCACGACGCGTCCATGCCTTCCATGGCCAGCACCACCTACGTGGCTTGTGAATACAGACCATAGAAGGAGAGAGCGTTGTGAACCTCGGGAGCCGTGGGCAACCCTGGCGGCGGCAACGGCTTGTCGGGTTGATTAAGAAACTCGCTGATGCGGCGGATCGCGGTCCACGCTTCAATGATCCCCGTGATGTTATCAGGCGTTTGGTTCATCGGCTCTTGCAGCATGCGAAAGAGAGCGATGGACGTAAAGACCTTGGCCGGGGTCAGCGTGTGTCCAAGCACGAGCGTGTAGCAGACAAACGACGCAACCGAGACGGCGAGCGGCGCTGCGTACATGGAAAAGATACCAAGCGCCTCGGCGCGCACGAGTTGCCACACATAGAGCAGCTCTAGACAAGCATGAGCATGCGATAACAACGAGAAGAATGTGTACCGGTGCCGCGGAGGACGGCGAGCTTCTCGGCAACTTGGCGCTCCCACGCCTGGAGCTTGACAATGAGGACCGAGCCAAAGCTCTCCTTGACTGCTTTCATGCGCACGTCACGGGCCGTGCTCACGTCGTCGTACGCGGCGCCAATCAGCGTCGAAATGTACCCGCCAATGAGCATGGAGACGACGATGACGGCGATGCCAGCAAAGACAGCGAGTCCGATCTCTCGGTAGAGGAGGTAGACAATACAGACAATCTGGCACGGAAGGATCCATGCGCTGAGGAGCGAGAGGAGACCCCACTCGATCGTGCTGAGGTCGGCGGTGTAAATGTTGGCGAGCTCCGGCACGTCGTTGGTGACGAGGCTGCGTCGCTGAAGCTTCTGGAACAAGAGGCCTTTTAGACCCAATGTAAACCTACGTATCCAAGTGCCATCTCAAAACTGCAATCTCAAAACGGCAATCTCAAAAAGACGTACCGAACCAACGTGGTTTCTTCGAGAACGACGCAGTGCGCGAGCAGAAAGGCATGCGACGTCATCGAGAGACAGAGGAGGCCGGCCCATTGGTACAATGTTGACGGCGCGTCGACAGCACCGACGACCTTGTTGAGCACGATGGGTCCGACGAGCTCGAGAAGACGGAGGAGCAAGCCGAGGAGCGCCATGAGAAAGTACGAGCCGCCGTAGACCCGCAGAAAGGCCTTGACGACCGACGGCGACTCGGCGTAGGCCGCCGCGAGCGGCGCAGAGTTGGCCGCACACGTGGTCTCGGGCGTGAGGTGCCACACATCATCAAGGTTGAGCTGGCGCGGCGTGCGAATGAGTGGCAGCGCCCAGGCAAAGAAGGCGCGGGAGACAAAATTGGCCGATTTGGTCGGGTGCGCCGCCGGTGGCGTGTCAAAGGTGGCGTACTTGGCGGTGGCTGCCATGGCGCGCGTTGAATTGTGGCTCAGCGATGCAGTCGGAAGCAGTCGGTCTGTCCCGGCGCGTGCGCTCAGCGGATCCATCGGTCAACAGCGCGGAACAACGAGAGAACGTCCGTGGAACGTTTGGTTGGATGCTACAGCCACACACATTCAGTATTGACCATCATTTACACTGTGTATGAGTGGGAAAACGTCAAAACGGGGTAAACGTGGCCTTCGCGCGCCAAAACTGCGCCTTTCAATAAACCCATGTGCCCGGTTTGGCTCTGTTGATGACATTCTCACATAAACATCACCCCAAACCCGCAAACTAACGTGTACAGCTAACCTCACATCTCAATCGGATGCTCTCAACGTCCTCCGTATTGACACAAGAGGCGAGCAGCTGCATGATGACGAGCTCTTTAGCCCTCGCCCAGCTGACGTCGAGCTATGGGTCGATTCAGGATTATCCTATGGGCCTGCTGCATTGGGCCTGCATACAAGACTTTACGTTGGGGGAGATCCCTTGCGATAAGAACCGCCCCATGAGGTGTACGCTGTCTCCGGTAGATCCTGTCGATGACGACTCAGAATTAAATAGTGTACACCTTGTGACACTATTTAAAGCGAGCCACATAAACTATATTCTACACTATTTAAAATCAACTAGGTAGCCTAGGCTAACGAGTCCATGGCACGAGATTGTCACAGACTGGCGTAGAGCATCGTGGCAGCGTGGTGCCAAGGAAACCTCCTGGATCCCTATCAAGGGGGACTGAGTGAGGATGTGTATCGGTACCGTAGCGTAGAGGTTTGTGGACAACCTTGTCCTGGAAGGACTGAGAACAAGAAATCGAATTCCAGGATCTGCGATACGCAGGTCCTAGGGCAACCTGCGAGGAACCATCCATGACGTCAGATACTCTTAGAGGCTAGCTACATGTATAATAGCGAGCGAGCTACGCTGAGCGTTCGCACTACAAGTGTAGTATACAAAAATGGCTTGGAGAATATGGCCACACCGGACTGAGCATAGTGTGATGACGTGGCAGCTTCTGCTTCGTTTCGTGCTTCCTGTTTATTGGCTAAAAACTATAGAATTCCAGTGCAGCGGCTGTTCGAGGGCAGACGTCAAGTCATTCCAGTGCGAGCCTCTGGGAAGCTGCCAGCACATGGCCCCCGCTTCTGTGGTCACGACGCCCTGTTTATGAATGGACGAGGGACATGGGTGCACCTCATTACGCCCGTGAAAATGAAGTCGAGGCGTAATGTCTGCGGCCGGCACACGCGACGAGAGTGTCCTATCCAATCGAGCTCGGAGATGTGTGGTACAGCAGCACTGGATCTCTTACTCGAGTGGCGTAGGTGCTCCCGCCACGCCCGCCATCCATTGGATCAACGCACGCGCTTGCGTTGGCCACAACAGTGCGCACGTCAAGAGCAACGCTGTGCAAGTGTTTTTCTTAAAAATGATGGATTTGTTTCTGGGGTTACGTAGACTAACTAAAACTAGTGACACAGGAGGGTAGGGTCGCGATGTCGCGCCTAGTACTTGTAGAAGGTCGTGTTGGTGAAGACGACTTCCTGGAACTTGGCCGGGCAGAGCGGGAAGAGGATCTTGGGGTCGACAACCGCCGGCGAGAAGAGCTCCTTGCCCGTGTTGATCGAGACGTACACGCCGAGGCAGGCCGAGATGATCATGATGAACATCGAGATCAACTTGGTCGGAAGCGACACGGTCGGCCAGAACGTCTTGAGGTAGAACGTGAGCGGCAGAATCTGGTTGACGATCGTCGACGTCGACGCGCCGACAAAGTCCATGAGCGCGCCGAGGTGGTCCTTCCAGATGACGGCGACGACGCAGCAGAACGCAATCATGGCGATGCGGAGGATGCACACCTTGAGGTACGCGCCCGGCGCCTTGTACGCGGCCGTGGGGTCGACGAGGTGCATCGCCTTCATCTCGCCCTTCGAGTCGAGGTAGTGGCCGGGGGCGACGCCATCGACGGCCGGCGTTTCAATGTCGGCTTCGATCGCAAGCACTTCTTCCTTGTGCAGGCCAAGGATAAGGCGCTCAAGAATCTGGAAGACGGGGAAGAAGATGACCGAGAAGGCAATCGTCACGTGGAGCTGCATGAACATGAAGGCGAGGATGACGAGGCCGCGGTCCGCCGTGAAGCCGAGCGTCGAGCCCGAGATCGCAAAGAGGAGGTTACCGGGCGTTTGGCAGCCCGTCGAGAAGACACCGAGGAGCGACACGAGGAGGAAGAAGATCGAGATGATGGCCTGGGCCACGAGGATCACACGCGGCATGCGGTGCGGCTCCGTGTGCTCACGCTGGAGCGACGGCACAATGATGCAGCAGCCGTACGCGAGACCGAGGTTGCCAAAGACCGTCGTGACCGACTCGAACGTGATCTCGGGCGTCGGCGGCGAGATGCCCGTCGGGTTGGTGTCGTGCATGTTGACAATGACAAGGTACACGGCGATACCGTCGGCAAGGATCGTGCCGAGGGAGCCCGCAAGCGCCATACCCGCGCCTTCCTTCATCGTCGGGACAAGGCACACCGGGAGGAGCGTCACGGCCATCAAGACGATCCACGTGGCTTGGCCAAACGAGCTCGGGAAGAGGACGACAAGCATGGTGCCGCCGAGGACGAGGTACACGATGGGAAGCATTGTGCAGAGGATGCTGTGCGCGAACGTCGAGATCCAGCGGCCGGGCTTGCCGAGGCACCACTCGCCGAGGTCACCGTACGTAAAGACCGACGTCGGCGCGGCGAGAAGCACCTTGGAGATGCACCACGTGGCAAACGTGTTGGCGGACGCCATGTAGATGAAGCCAATGGACGCGGCAAAGTACCCGGCGCGGGCATAGTTGCCGGCGAGACCCAAGGAGCCGACGCCGCAGACGCAGCAGAAGAGCGAGAAGCACATCTTCATATCTTCGTTGGTGAGGAATGTCATCGTCGGGCGCAGTATCGTCGTCAAGTAATGGAAGAGGAGGAGGTGTGCGTCGCCGATGGCAAATTGAAAAGTGAGGTTGTTGGCGATGAACAAAAAGCGAGGGATTGAAGTACAACTGGCACGCCGCCGTGTACCAGATGGGTCCACGAAACTCACTGGCTAGCCCGCGTCGCCGGCAAGCGCACATATCGCAGCAGTCGTGATTACAAGCCACAGCGCAACGAAGCTCTTGAAGGTATCCAAACAGCTGTTCCACCATAGCGTGGGATAGATGGCCATCCGGCCTGCGACACCACTTCTGGCATCGAAAGTGCCTTCTTCGCCCACAGTCGACGACAGGGGGCGCGACGCGCTGTGTTCTAAAATGGAAGCGACGTTCGTGGACGACCTCACGCGCGTCGATCAATTTTACAAGGTACGCTTTCCTGACGCCTTGACGGCCGTGAGCATGGCTCTAGAATCAGGCGACCAGGGTTATCAATTTCTGATTTTATTTGAATGCATGATGGTGCAATGAAATCACTCGTTCATCTGCGACTGGCGCCGTTTGTGATGTAAGTACCTTTTGTGGTCGGCTTGGACACGGCGAGCAGAAGCGCACGATGAAGAGCCTTGTGCCGCCTTGCGCTGGAGCTTGTTGGGGTGGCGCGGTCAAATAGGACGGCTCTAGAGAAATCAACGCCGTCGTTGCGATAGCACGTCGTGTTATCTCAGAGCCCACTCAGAAACCGAAGACGTACACATAAAACAGATGGCAACTGGCCAAATGACGCGACTGGCTGGAAAATGACCCATTTACCCAGGGTTTGACCCAGGGTTTGACCTGCTATTGGAGGGGGTAGTCAGCAAGCGCGAGGATGAAGTTGTGCTGCCGTTGAAGCGTGCTCCTTCTCACCACACGTTTACGTGGCACGTGTACAGCCTAGTTTCTATCGGCGGCTCGCGTCAAAGGGCGAAGCATCCAGTTTTCTCCGTCGGGTGGTGCGCATTTCTGAGTCCTCGGCGTCACGGACAAGCTCGACGATCGACGCCGTGTCCTTCTACCATGTACGCTGCGCTCTTTTTCTATCAACAAAGTAGGGTGGTCTTGAGCTATCGATTCCAATCGCAAGCGCCTCGCAACAGCGCTTGAGTTTCAAGCAGGACGAATCGCTTTCTTCCATAAGTATTTTGGGGTTGGCGCACTGCGGCATCAGCTCGTGGCGTCGCTGTGCCATACTACCTTGAAGCTGATACGGCTGGTACGAACTCGTTGATCGCTCCTGAGCAGGACGAAGCGCAGGATCGAAGGTGTATAGTGGCAGCGTTCGTCGATGGTGGGACGGCCCGCGGCTTCCGATCGCCCGAGTATCTTCAAACACCAGCATGTGGTGGCGCATGTTCCCACTCCTAAATCCAGTACTGAACGGGTCTACAGCATCCCACACTAGCTGGAGCGATGCAATCTCCAATGCGTCATGCAGGACATCTCGGTATCTCTGGTCTACATCGCGCCTGCTCGTCTTCGCGGCGCTTGCATCGCGCCAAAGCGCGCTGTAGCGCAATTGAGATGCGACGAGAAGTGTGCTGTATACACCCGTCGCGCCGATGCATGCCTTGAAGCGGGCTCTTGAAGGTTTGCCAGAGGGGTGGCAGAAGAGACACGTGATGGGTTCGTTGCAGCAATCGCTCGACGCCGACGGGCTTCTTTTGCACTTGAAGCACCCAACGCAGCGCCTTATCCAGTCACGAACCCAAGACTGCTTTCCGTCATATTGTATGCAAGCTTGAAGTTGCCCTCCGACAGCTTCTGCGTCAACGCGATCGGAACCTGCCCTCGCGCTTCTGCAAGGACTACGTATACACGAGCAGCACGCGCGTGGCCCCGTTTATCCCGCGGCTTTTTGACGACCGCCAGTGCCTTCGTGACCTACATTCTTGCCGAAATGACGTGGCAACATTGTGTGGTGTCGTCGAGGGCTGATGAAGAGGCCTGATATTACCGGTATAAAGAGGAAGGCAGTGTATGTTCTTCGCTGCATCGAGAAATGCAGCGCTGGGCTGTGTCGCAGCAAGTGCAGTCTAGAGATCGCGACAGGGTCGGATGTGGTGGTTGGTCCTTTTTTTAGGGTTGGCGTACTCCAGGGCGTACTCGGGCTTTAATACTTCACTTCGGTTCCGCAGTGCTGCACAAATTGAACCAGAGTGTCGGGTAGCAGCGACTCGAGCTCGAAAGCGACGATGCGCGGATGGAAGACGATCCAGGCCGGCGAAAAATCGCAAACCAAGAAAAAATGGGTGCATGTCTCGATCTTGGGCCACGTTTGGAATCGCTCGATACAGAATATGCGAAATATTCTGTTTTGTCAAATGCTGTTTCATATCGAGTTTGGCGAATGGGAAAGCGATGCAAAAATGAGTGACGAGAGTGGCGTCGCATCCCGATCCAGGTGCGTCCACCGAGAAGAGTGTCGCCAGTGTGCGAGATCGTCTTGCAATCCCTGCGTCAGCGTGTCCTTAGCGTGACTGTGTATTTAGACAGTAGTTTAGTGAGCACCAAGCTCGGGCCTGTGGACTGAGAGGCACACGCCCATCGTGTTTCGCATTGGCGTCGTCCATAGCCTGCAACTCTACGTCGCTACCGTAAATGTGCATGGTATTTCAACGGCCACCGACGCGCGCCCTTTGCACATCTGGTCGACAGCGTCGCCGGTGCGGCTCGGAAGCACGTTTGAATCCGCCCATCCATTTGTTTTCGCATCATGTTTTGCTTTGCCATTGTACCCGTGCGTGCTGACGGCAGAATACTTTGGAGACACACCACCACAACTTGTCTATCTCTTGTTCGATGACGAACGATGCGTCGCTGGCGACAATCAACCTGCCATTGGTATAGTTGGTATGGCGTGCGAGATGGTAAACTTGTCACGTGATGCACAAGCACCTAGTGCTGCGTCGGACTGGTGTCGTAGATACGACGAGATTGTTCATGGTCGGACTTGGCTTGACGCCATCGAACGCGTCGAACGTCGTTGTGGACAGGCTAGGTCCGGGACATGTCATCGTGCTTGGTACGAAATAGCAGAGGACCTGCGGCTGAGAATGAGACGCCCTCTTTGCAGTGATCAGACGCGACGGAAAACTGGCTCATGGGGCAGTAGAGGTTTCTAGCACAATCGAGTACTCAAAGGACGCTTCTTTGTGGATCTGGGTGCATGGCGCTCTGTACACAGAATTGTCCGAGTGATGCCGGCCCTCTGTTCGTGAAATAGTGTTATACCTAGGCTACTTGGTCCGTGATTATCCATGAGTACCTTAGGTCAAACAGCATGCGCACTTTTCCAGTGTATGTTGAAACAGTGTAAATTACTGTCTCCTCCATACCGGCGAACGTGTTGCGCGTGTCGATACCAGAAGAAGAACAACTACACGCGACTGAGAACGGCACCGCTCGTATGGCCACATGAGCCGACCTATAATCCAGTCAAGCAGCCTCACACTAATGTTGTACTAGAAGCCGCGCCACCCAGATCTTGACGTATCGTGCCTTCAAACGATCGTCTTGTCGGATTCCTGCACATCTCGCTGCCGCAGTCGATGCAACCAATCTCGGTCGATCGTCGCCAGCTCGACCTGGACCTCGTGCTACAGTCGTTTGGCTGGGAGGACACGCGGTAGTCGTTCACGTATGCGCCTTCTCGCACATCCCCGCTGGTGTGGCACAAGTGTGTCCCGTACTATTGGGCATCGTCTCGAGCACGTGGCTGTACCTTCGTTTCTTGGTGGTGGCTCGGACACAGCAGCTCTCTGTTGTCGCACATAGCAAGACTTGTACCGCCGTCGGTGTCTTGCCGCGACAAGGTCGGTAAAGCGAGTTTCTCGCGATGTCGTCGCCGTGATGCCCAAGCCACTGCAACGTGCATGTGGACAAGACCAGGTCACACGTCCTCACCCCTCCGACCCCGTAAGAAGGGTCATTTCAACAAGTGGAGGATGTTTGAGAAAGGCCGAGCGATCCAGAAGACGTCATCTCGAAGCACACAAAATAGATCGACGCGCCGCCTGGCTTATAAGACGGCGTCGTCGTCCAGGAGCACTCCAAGCGAGGGATCGCGCGCTTCGTGGCCTTTGCGACCTGCACTTGCGCCACTACATTGACCACGTGGACTCGACGAAGAAACGATCCTGTTTAAAATCTTTAGCCGTCAAGAGGACCCACTTCAACACTCGTGCCACACACGCAAGTGTGCTTGCCCACACCCCGTCGTGCGGCGATACTTGTATCAGGTAGCTGACTGCGCAGTCGACGCACACTGCCAAGGCGAGACGAAGAGTTAAAGAAACGGGACTAACATTTTAGATCAACACTACAAACCGAGACAGACATAGCGTCTCGAGCACACGAGGCCTTAGTACTTGTAAAAAGTCGTGTTGGTGAAGACGACTTCCTGGTACTTGGCGGGGCAGAGCGGGAAGAGGATCTTCGGGTCACGTTCCACGGGCGCAAAGAGCTCCTTGCCCGTGTTGATCGAGACGTACACGGCGAGGAAGCACGAGATCAGAATGCAGATGATGCCAAACGCCTTCTCGCCCTTGGAAATCATCGGCCAGAACGTCTTGAGGTAAAACGTGATCGGGAGAATCATGTTGACGAGCGACGACGTCGACGCGCCGACAAAGTCCATGAGCGCGCCGAGGTGGTCCTTCCAGATGACCGCGACGACGACACAGACGGCGATCATGGCCGTGCGGAGGATCGCAGCCTTGGTGTACGCCCCCGGCGCCTTGTACGCATCAATGGCTTCGTCGTGCAGCTTCATGTCATCGTCCTTGGCCTTGTTGTCCGCCGCGTAGTGGGTCGCGCCGTCGATGGCCGGCGTCTCAATATCAGCTTCGATTGCGTCGCCTTCAAACTTGTGCAGACCAAGAACCAAGCGCTCGAGAATCTGAAAGACGGGGAAAAAGATGACCGAGAACGCGATCGTGACGTGGAGCTGCATGAAGAGGAAGCTCAGGATGACAAAGCCGCGGCTGGCCTTGAAGCCAAGGCCCGAGCCCGCAATCGAAAACAAGAGGTTGCCCGGCGTTTGGCAGCCCGTCGAGAAGACACCGAGGATCGAGACGAGGAAGAAGAAAACCGAAATGATCGTCTGGGCCACGAGGATGAGGCGCGGCATGCGCTCGGGCTGCGAGTGCTCGTGCTGCAGCGTCGGAATGATGATGCACGCGCCATATGCGAGCGCCAAGTTGCCAAAGACCGTCGTGACGCTCTTAAAGTCAATGTCGGGTGACGGCGGCGAGATACCGCTCGGGTTGACGTCTTGCATGTTGGTGATGAGGAGCGCGAGGGCAATGCCGTCGGCAAAAATCGTGCCGAGGCAGCCAGCTGCCGCCATGCCCGCGCCCTCCTTCATGGTGGGTACGAGGCAGACCGGGAGCAGTGTGACCGCCATCAAGACAATCCACGTCGTTTGCGAGAACGAGCCGGGGAAGAGGATCACGAGGAGCGAGCCGCCGAGCACCAAAAAGACAATCGGGAGCAACGTGCAGAGGACGCACTGCGAGATCGTAGTGAGGTACCGCCCGGGGCGGCCCATGACCCACTCGCCGACGTCGCCGAACGTAAAGACGGACTTGGGCGCCGCGAGGAGCACCTTGGAGAGGCACCACGTGGCGTACGTGTTGGCGATGGCCATGAAGAAGAAGGCGACGGTTGCCCAGATGTAGCCGGCGCTCGCGTAGTTGCCAGCGAGACCCAAGGAGCCGACGCCGCAGACGCAGCAGAAGATTGAGAAACACATCTTGAAGTCTTCAATCGTAAGGAACGCCATGGTCGTCGAGGTGTGCGGCCAAAGGCAAAAGGCAAAGTGAATGACTTGGGCGATGACCGCCGCAGTGACGCCCATCCAGGTACTGCCGTTGAAGTTGGGTTGAAATTACCCCATCTGGTTTGGAGGCGTAACGCTGCGTGTGCGGCTGCTATTTCGACGCAACGACCCTTTCACATTGGTGTGGCGAGACACGATGCCGTGTATACCCGACGTGTCGTGAAGCGTTCAGGTGCGCAAGGAGGCTTATGCGTGGGCCACCGATGGCGCAGTCCATCAGCGGCTATGATGGATAGTAGCATTCCATTCCAATTCAGCAAAGATGGTTCGAGTCTGCGACGCACTGCTTGTGGTATTAGTGCGCGCGTGATAGTTGGAGGCTCTGATATACCTGTACACCGGTTCCGGTACAGGCTACATCAGTACCGTAGGCAGCTTGTATCTGCGGTACTGTACTTGTAAGAAGGTGAAAGTGGCGAGAGGATTGGATGCAGAAAGTCCTTGGTCGTGGCGGACCTGCTCACATGAGGTGAATACGTGGTGATAGCTGCGGGTGGTGGTAGTAGGCTTCGGCGAGCTCCTTGCTCTTCTCGCACGAGGGGCAACGGCGCGCTGGAGAAAACACGCAGGAGTCAGTGACGCAATCGTTGTCGACGAGCGCCAGAACGCCGCGCTCTCTCTGTTGGATGGGACGTACGTCGAGGAAGCCACCGCACTTGTTTATCGCGCTGCGTAGGCAATCGTTGCAAAGGGGAACACGAGCGAACGTCGCAGCCCAAGAAAGAGTTTCGTCGAAGGGGAAAGCATCCAGCGCAGTAACCTAGAAAATTGGTCGACAATTCTGTCCTTTCTAGCGATTTGTAAACGGTTAGCGAATGTCAGCGACCCGTGTATGACTACGGGCCGCATTTCTGGCCGCGTTCTTTCGGCCGTGGAATCGTGTGAGTACCGTCCACATCCCACGGTTACCCCATCCCGACCGCCATATGTTGCACACTAAAACCAACTCAGTTTCATAATCCAAAGGTTGGTATGCATACTTGAAGCAGCCGACTCTCTTGGCTGCGAGTCTGCGGCGGACACGCGGCACACCCTACTACTAGTAGTCGACGCCAGGGACGCGTTTCCGAAATCGCAACGATTTTTAGTTACACAAACGGATTCGCTGTGAGCTTCGCTTCGGCTGCAATCGTCCCCGGCGCGGCTCTCCGGTCGAGGCGGTCGCAAGAAAGGAGCTTTGCGGCACACCCAGGTGTGCTTCAATTCTGCTTCAATTCAAAAAACCGCCAACTCGCATGGCGCTGAAAAGATCGAGGTCCGCACCCAAATGCTTGCTCGGTTGCTCGGTGAGCCAAAGACAGCCGGATGCACTCTGGGGGATGGGCGCTCTTGGCGATTGCCTCCTTTTCATGGAAACGTAGACGTGGACTGTGCTCAGAAATGGATCTTAGAATGGGCGCCCCATCGACGGCTTCCTCGACGTACCGACGTCTGAGAAAGCCAGTCGCATTTTTCGCTCGGCGAATCGCAGGTCGCGTAGCATGTGCCAGGCTGTCGCAGTCGTGGTTGTGTCGGAGCTTTGGCGCGCAAGCCAATGAAATGCATTACAAGCATTTCTTATCCACCAATCAAAGAACGTTTTAAATCTGATTGGACGAAAACATCGTAGAGACCACCTTGGGACATTGTGGTACAAGCACTGTGTCGCAGCTGCGGGTAGGCTACCATCTAGGTGTAGCCAATGAATTACGGCTGCGATACTCGCCTAAGACGACCAAGCCGGCTATAACCTGGGTGGTTCCCTTGCGAGCCCGGATCTCTTTACCTTATCGAAGCCCTCTCCATACAAACGCCAAGACACGAGCGATCGCGTCGCCAATAGTTCACGCTAGGCCCGTGTCCGCCACACGGCTACGCCTTTGGGTGCGCTCAAACCGTCGCTCTGCAATTTAATGTGCAGATTAGGCAACACCTTGATCATTGTATGTTCCGCAGTGGTGGCCTAAAAAAGGGCGCGCTCCCGGTACCCGTTTGAAGGAACTTGTGCAAAAGATCCTTGGTTTGCGGCAGGTTGACATGTCGGATAACCAGTGCATCAGCTGGCACCGCACGTGGTGGAGCTTCAACATCAACATCGTATGTGCAGAGTACGCGACGACGCTTTGAGTTTGTGCGAGCTCCACTCGCTCATTCTGTCTTTTGCCTCTGGCGGCGCATCCCATCGCAACCACCATGGCGTTCATGACCAACGAAGATCTCAAGATCGCCTTCTCCATATTCTGCTGCGTCTGCGGTGTCGGGTCCCTCGGCCTCCCGGGCAACTACGCCAAGGCCGGCTACATCTGGGCCTCGGTGGCCTTCATCTTCATGGCCGCCGCCAACACGTACGCCACGTGGTGCATCGCCAAGGTCATGCTCGTCGCGCCCGCCAACATCTTTACCTTCGGGGACCTCGGCGAGTGGGTCATGGGCAAGCCCGGTCGTTGGATCACGACGGTGCCGCAAGCTATCATGTGCACGTTGCTTCCGATTGTCTTTTTGGTGCTCGGCGGCTCGCTCCTCGTCGTGCTCTTCCTCGACTCGTTTGCGCAGTCGACGTGGATCGTCTTGATGGCGGTCACGCTCCTCCCGGTGTGCCTCATCCCGACGCTCAAGGAAGGTGCTGGCGCCGCCGCCGCCGGCTGCCTCGGCACGATCTTTGCCGACGGCATTGCCCTCACACTGCTCATCACCAACATGAACGACTCGAACGTCCAGAGCATCTCGCCGCCGTCGCCCGAGCTCACGTTCGAGTCGGTCACGACCGTCTTTGGCAACTTGGCGCTTGCATACGGCGCTGGCATCATCATCCCGACGCTGACGCGCGAGCACAGCGAGCCTGCGCGCATGCCCAAGCTCATTTTGATCACGATGGGCGTCATCTCGGCCTTCTTCCTCCTCGTGTCGATCCTCGGCGTGTACCTCACCGGCTGCCAAACGCCCGGCAACCTCCTCTTCGCCGTCGCCAACTCGAACCTTGGCTTCTCGGCCAGCCGCGGCTTTGTCATTCTGAGCTTCCTCTTCATGCAGCTCCACGTCACGATCGCGTTCTCGGTGGTCATGTTCCCGGTCTTCCAGATCCTCGAACGCGTCCTCTTTGGTATGCATGTCTACTACATTGAAGAGCACGTGCTCGACATTGAGACGCCGGCGCTCGAGTCGTTCAAGCCCGAGGAAAAGCCGCTTGAGCACATTGACCCTGCCGAGGCCTACAAGGCGCCGGGTGCGTACATGAAGGCGGCCATTATGCGCATCTCGATGGTCGCCATCTGCTCGGTGGTCGCGGTCATCTGGAAGGACCACTTGAACGCGCTCATGGACTTTGTCGGCGCGTCGACGTCGTGCATGGTGTGCATGATTCTGCCCATCGTCTTTTACCTCAAGACGTTTTGGCCCACAGTCTCGGCGCCCGAGAAGGCGTTCGGCATCATCTGCATTGTCATCTCGAGCTTCCTCGCCGTGTACGTCTCGATCAACACGGGCAAGGAGCTCTTCGCGCCGACGCACCCAGACCCGACGATCCTCTTCCCGCTCTGCCCGGCCAAGTACCAAAAGGTCGTCTTCACCAACACGACGCACTACTCGGTCGCGCGTGCGCTCTTCGAGTACTAAGCCGCTGCATTTTCGTTCCCCTTCCCCCTGTTTAGAGTCGTCGCATAATCAAATTAACAATTAACACTGAGCTTGTCCAGTCACCTCACCCGCCTTTCGTTGTACCGGCATCATGACATTGTAAGAGCACTCAAGTGCAGTACCTTCCTTGATGCACTTGAGTCTATCAAGGAAATACATCATTTCCGTGGTGATGATACAATCTATCCAAGTAGCATTGTGCTGAAAGAGTCCTGCGAAAGACATGGTGACGGGAGACGCTAATGCCTAGTACTCGCACAATATGGTCGATTGTATCAACGTGTCAGCTAGTTAGACGTTATACGTGTCGGTGGCGTTCCTCGCCCGCCGACACAGGTCGGCGTACGAGTGCGGGCTCAGTGGCAGATCCAAGTCCGACTCGGACTCGTCGTCGCTCAGCGTGAGGTCCACGACCACAGGCGGGCTCATCGTGAGATCGATGACGGCTGGTGTCGAGCGTTTGGTGAATCGGTACGGCCAGCAGACCTGCCGTTGGGTCCATGTCCCTCTTCGTGACCCTGGCGCACTCGCTTCTTCTGTCACGGGCTCCCGACCTGCCACCGTCGTGGCCACCGTTGGCGTGGACTCTTGCACGGGCTCGGCGCGCGCGACAACCGTGGGTGGCGTCGCATCGTCGTTCGTCAATGCAGTGGGCTCGGTCAACGTTGCTTTTAAAGGGACTTGTTGACCACACTTCGCGGTCCTTGTCGACAGTGGCGGCTCGCATGTTGTTGACACCAATCGCGTCATCCGCAATGGCGTACAGAGCGGGATGTCGCCACGTTGCGCAAGGGTCACCGAAATGTACTTGCCTTTGGCGATTTGCTGGACCTTGCAGCGCGCAAATGTCGTGCCGAGAGCGGGCTTGGTGCCATGACTCTTGACGTGTCGGCGCATCGTTGCTTCGTCATGCGCGTAGTAGACGCAATTGGCACGCAGACAATGGAAGCCGCGGGTCGATGGGTACAGAGGTAGCGCCGGCACGGGGTCTGCCATCGGCGTTCGGTACGGTGACGCTGCAATCGCTGTCGGACACGAGAGGTTGGCAGCAACGAGGGCCTGCGTCACCTGCGCCGGTGGCAGCGTCAATGGGAAA